AGAGTTTTAATTCCGTTTGGCAAGCAGAAAGCTCCACAGACAAATGGGAAAAACTAACGGAAGAAGATAAAATCTATTTACAAAGCTATTGCCTTCAATCTTTATGCACTTATTTGATATATATTTTATCTAGCTAACAATTTAGTAGATATAAAAATATAAAAAATATATATAAATATATGAGTAAAAGAAATTGATTTACAAATAAATATAAAAAATATAAAAAATATATATAAATATAAAATTACGTTGTATATAAATCTATATTTTTTTAAAATAAATTAAATATAAATAAATAAAAAATAAATATATAAATAGTAAATTATTATTATATATACAAATTAATGAATTTATATGCATTTACTACATAGAATCTGCTGCTCGTTCAAGACGAGAAAATAAAATATTTGATATTAATTTATTATACATCTTGTTGTCCGTTCATCTGTCCATATGTAATATATAATATAATAAACTAAATTTTCTTCGTTTGTCAATTATTTTGTTTATTAAGATCTACTTTTATTTCGTTATATAACTAATGTTATTTGCAGGGCAAATTATGTTATCTTTAATTTCTATACACACATGACACACACACACACACATCGAGAATTTATGTTCAATATGAGCCGTGCTGCATCATCTACACAGAGCTCTACACTGGCCAACACACGAAACAGTTGTTGGCCTGCCTTGAGCTGTCGAGGCCTGCGGCTAGATTGTTCACTCGGCCGGGCCATAACAATCAATCTTGTTTTATTAAATGAGCCTGAACTTTGAAGGCAGTCCGGAAAGAGGCAGCGGAAGCCAAAACAAAAACTGACACAGGTGAGCGCATGGCAGAGGGAGAGAGAAAAAAGCAAAGCATTAATAGATATTTACGGGAAGCAGTTGCCGCAAAACTAATCCGTTTTTATTTACGTAGCTCGAACACTTCACACGCGAAAGGGTCGCTCATTAAGTGCCAAAGCCTTGAGATCTGCCTGCCTGCCAGAGAGTGAGAGAGCGAAAGAGGGCGCAAAATAACGAGGTAAAGAAAATGTTACAAGTTTGGCTCTTAATTCACTTAAGACTTTAGTTACTGTGGACAAGGACTCGCGCCGAGCGGAGGGAGCGCGCGGAGGCTGGCTCGCCTTACAACATCATTTGTGTTCGTCCTTTAAGCATCTTGTATTAGGAAAGTTCTCGGCAGCTCAGGCACTCAGCCTTGGCGATGCCATTGAAACTGTAACTCTGAATGCGAAATGGGAATGTGGCAAATGAACAAAAGTGGAAATACACACACACACACACACACACTCGAGCACACACACATACACATGTATGTAGAGAAAAGAAAAATGAAACGATTCGCAGTAGTTTTCCATTCAGAGCTGTAAAGCGCATAGGCGAATGGAAATATTAAAATTGAAATTGCGATTTGCCCTTCGCTCCCAAACAACTTTTTCAATCAGACAAGAACAGCAAAAAAAGGACATGCTAACATAGAGAGAGAGAGAGAGTGGAGGGGAGCTGGCATTTAGTAAAGAACTTGTACTTAATGTAGCCCGAGTCGAGTCGAATCGCTTATCCTTTTGCCTACCAGCACATCCTTTGTGCTTAAATTTTTTGACAATGCAAATGCTTTGGGTCTCAGCTGTTTGGCGGCTTTATCGCATCGCATCTATCAATGACACTAATTGCGGGCTTATTATTGTATTATCCAGCGAGTCCTGCCAGCCTTACGAGTCCTGCCACGCAACTAAACGATTATTACTTTGTTTATTATCCGATGTCAAATTGTGCTTTCTGCAATTCACTTGTTTTCTAGTTCCTTTTCTTTTCTCTGTATTGATTTTGCATTATTTCGTGGTTTACTGCGCCTTTCCCTCTATAACCACTTTTCATCAATTGCTATAATTGAGCACCCAAACAATTATCGACCTTGAAGCACATTTAGAGCTTTTTTGGTCGACTCTTTACTAAGAATAAGCAATATGTCTGGATCAAACTATCTGCTAGTTAGAAAGTTATTCTTTATAGGAAATTTCTTGTGTGTCGCTAGAAGTAAACCGAAAGACTCAATTTCTAGGTAAGTAAGGCATAGAAGACATCCATTTAGGCATCAAAACTAGTTAGTTAAACAATATTTTATTTCATTTTTATTTTTAATCAATTTGTTCTGTGATCTTTCGTTGAGAGAAATAATAAACCTGCACAAGAAGAGGCAGAGAAACGGGCCGTACGACCACCATCTCTTGACAACATAAATCTATTAAGCCAACTCCCGCTCTTTAACTAGGGTGCTGGTCGTAGCTGGCCGCTAAGCCCAACAACTACTATAAAAAACACAGAAAGTGCAGGCAATAAATAATACGAAAAATACTTTAGAAACAAGTTTCAAATATGCTAATAAATAACTATGAAACTACTAAAAATAATGGAAAAATACAGACAAAAAACATTACTGAAAAGTTAATATATAAATTATATATAAATAAAAACCTAAAAATAGAGACAATAAAAGAAGCATTAACTTCAAAAATAGCTATAAAAAAATTAAATAAATTGAATATTAATACAAAAAAATTTTTGACATTGAATTTTGATGAGAAAAAATACTAAGCTTTAACAGTAAATATACTAAGCTTGCATGGTAAAAATACTAAACTTTGATAGTAAATATACGAAACTTTCATTGTAAAAATACTAAACAGTTTTACTATAAACTATATAAACAATAAATTTGTAATATTTTGATATGAGAGTTTTTAAAAGGAAACTTAAAACTAATAATAATAATATAATCGAGAGTTGGTTTCTAATTTGGTCTTAAGAAAGCTTATTATATAAATTTAGCTGACAAATAAATATTATCTGACAAGGCAAAAGTTTTCTTAAAAGAAAGTTCTATATAGTAAACTTTTCTATAATGCCAACAGTCAATGAAATACAATTTTCAGTTCTAAACATAGCCAAAAATCAATACAATCTGCTTTGCTGCAGCTGAATACCAGCAGTCAACTTCCAGTTTATATCTCATTCATAGACATTAATTTTTTTTATCTGGTCTAACAAAATATAACGTCAACTCTCATACACTCTCAATATCGATTTCTTTCTTCTAGCTTAACTCAATACGAATCATATGCACTTCACTTCATCGTCCACTTGGCGGCACTCGAGCCACGCCCATTGTGCGGCAATGCGACGGCAATTAAAGCACATCTTCAGTTGCATAAATTGCACACTAATTGGCGCACCTCCCACCGAAGAGGCAAGCTACGTGCGACCTCGACTAAGTTGCAATTAGAAGCTCGACCAACAATTAAAGTGAGAGAAGAAAGAAATATGCATAAATATATTGCATACCCCAGGGCGCATTTAATGAAATGCAAAATACGCAATGCCAACTGAGTCTGAGCCACAAATACATGTGTATCTAGATGGCGACTCATGTCTAACGTTTAGCACGCAATCGTGGAAAATATTCTCACAACTCGAAATCAATTTTCATTTTCAATTAAAGGCAAGCTGCCAGAGAGTGAGGAAGGGGGAAACAAAATAAACAAGCAAACAGACTGCAATGTGAGCTACTAAATAGGCGCTGATAATTTGCCAGCAAACACACGCACACACACGCACACACACGCACACACACGCACGCACACGCACACATGGCCAAACAGCTATTGATGAGTATAAATGCAAATCACTCATACGCCCTCGGCGCCTACCAATGTCCTGTTAGTTAGCTCCCCTCGCCACGCCACAGCGCGCCTCGCCTCGGCACAGGCCTCGTTTTGACGTTTAATTAGGCGCAAATTTTAATTAAATGTCCTGGCGCCAAACAACTTTTTGGCCAGAATTCCAACCGAAAAACTCATTAAATAACTATTACTTATGCGCCGATGTGAGTCGAGCAACGGTTACATTATTAATTTTCACCCATCAACCAAACACCTCTCCCCAGCTCTTCGTCGCCTTCTCCATCGTGTGTTGACAACGTAACATAAATAATGGCCAGGTAGCACTGAATGATAAATGATTCAATAACCTAACCATATATAGAGAGCGCCTCACCTTAAGCATGCAACTAAAATTGATTTGCCTGCTGACAAATTCCTAACTACAATATAGCTTTAAAGGAACTTAAGAATCTGACTTTGGCCTGCCAGAAAATACTGCAGAGAATATGAAAGAGAGCTAATGAAGTCTATAACACTATTAACACAGTTGTTTATAGCTTTTTAGCCAGCGGTTTTTTTTTTCGATGACAGTAGATTTTAGTTTTTTTTTAAAGAAGATTTTAGTAAGCAACAATAAATTTCTAAAAATAAAAATATTCTATATATATTTAATCAACAAACCTTAAGTATAATTTCCATCAAAGCATCGCTTAAATAATTCCCTATTTATATCTCTCATATTTTTAGACAAATTTCAAAATTATTCTTGATATTCTTGAAGCAATTATAATAAAAAAATTTTATTTAAAAAATAATAATTCAAAAATGATAATTAAAATATTCTAGAAAAATAAAAAAAAATATAAATATGAGTTTTTTAAAATAATAATTAATGTACATCCCAGATATATATTCCAATTAGTTCAGCATTTTTCATTAGTTAATTCTTAATATCACAGACTATACCTTATAGAATAAAACATATCTTTATATTACTCTATATAATTCACTTATATCACATATAGTCTTTGGACTTCCCGACCCCCTAGCATACTAAACAGAGCTCATCTATCTTGCTATATAAAAAGTTGATTCTGACACGAGACGTTATCAATTGATCGCAATCAACAATCAGCAACATTTCCGTCACACGAATTGTCAGAAAGTTTCCATTCACAATAGTCAAGCACTCATTTATCTAACGTGAAATATGGAAAAGAAAAACTCTTTGCTGGTTGGTCTTTTGGTTCACTTCCCATGCACTCAGAGATATACAACTATTTTGTAGGTTTTTGTTTTTTTGTTACTTCCTCAATGAATGTCGCTCACCTGTTTGAAATTCTAAGGATACATTTAAATTGCGTTGCGTGTGTGCTCGGCCTGTATCCTGTGCCAGTGTTCGCGCTGAAGAGGCCTATTCAATGGCTGTGACAGGCAGTCAGGCAAGCAGCCAGTACCGGACTGTCCGCTTCTTTAGTGGCTTCTGCTGTCCGTTCTGCTGCTGTCCTGCCGTCCTGTGGCACGCTTCCTGCAGCAGTCAGCTGCTGGCATGCAAAAGTTTTGCTGCTGCTGCTGCTGCGGATATTGTCGTTGTTTAGTTTAGTTACTGTGGGCTTTCTTCAACTTGCTTCTATCTGTGTTCTCTGTTCAATGTTCAGTGTGCAGTGTTCAGTGTTCAGTGTGTGTGTGATTTGTGTGAGTGTGTGTGTGTGTGTTTGTGTGTCACTTTATGCGCTTCCTGCTCGATGCTTTCGCACCGCCCGCCGCCACGTTGTGCCGAGAGTGAAAGTTTTTTTATTCGAACGCTGCCCGTCAACGAAGAGGAAAACAAATCGTGGTGAATTCAGCGCGTCACGCTCTCCCGACGCTCTCTCGCTCTCAGCGGCTCACACGCACGTTTGAGTATTTTTTAATTCTTTTTCAATGCCTAATTTGGGATTCTCTTTGTTTTCTTTGCTGTTTTTTTTCTTTCCTTTTTTTTTGGTTTTAGTTAAACGATACTTGACGATATTTATTTGCTTTAGATGGTCACACTTGTGCCTCAAGGCACATTGAATTGTTGTCTATTGCCAAATTCACCACAGCAACAACTATTGCTGGGCCTCTTTGTTATTGTGGGTGGTGAACTTCGTTGAGCTATTGAATAGAAGGTGGAGGTGGAAGAGGAGGAGAAAGAGGAGAAGGGGTAGCGGCAGCAGCAGGAGATGCTTATTGTAGTTGGTCGCACGCCTATAAATCGCCAACTTGCGTGCTGCGATTCGGTATTGGTATCGCTTTTGATATTTTCGGACTCCGAATCCGAATCGCTGTACGTGGCGAATTTCGACGGTAGCCGTTGTTGCCGTAGTAATTTAACCTTCTGCCCTACTCTAGAATGCGTCATCGAACATGCTGTTGTTGTTGTTATAGTTGTTATAGTTGTTATTGCTTGTTGTTGTTGCTGCTATTGTTGCTGTAGCTGTTGTTGTTGGGTGGCATATAAATACAAGTTTGAGCATTTATATGAATTAATTTGTTTAATATTTCATTTGGCACCATCTCTCACAAAAACACATTGACAAACTAGCTCACGCGCACACACACACACACGCAGAGACAGAGGCAGAGGCAAGTGGCATGCCACAGTGGCACACGCACACACACTTGGCACACAGTGTGTGCATAATGCAATATTTAAACACAGCTGCCTCGCACATTTACTGCATATGTCGTGCCATACGTATTCATATATTACCCATACGCCATGGTGTACGGCCGTGTGGTTGTTTTTTTAATTTCTTCTACTTTCTTGTTGGTATTTTGAGTGCTTCGAGTTGTTATTGACTAAGCAGTTGTTGCCTTTAACTCAAGGTTACAAAAAACTGTTTCATTTACTGGATTTTCGTGCACATATCATGGTTTTGGTTTTGGTTTTGGTTTTGGTTTCTCGTTTCGTTTTCTTTTGCTGTTTTATTGAAATCCGCTGGGCATTCCCGTTGCTTGTGCTCTGCACATGGCTTCAGGCTTCATAAAGTATCTACATAATTTTTGCATGCCTCTGAATTTAGCTCGGAAACACAATTGCTTTTTTTTATACTTTATTTTTTTTTTGCATTTGTTTTAAACACATTTTAATTTAATTTAAAATTTTTATTTGAATAATTTTCTTTATTATTTCTTTTTTTCTGCTTTTTCTGTGCTTTCTTTTGCGCGTCTCAGCTGCGTTTGCTGCGGAGCGCCCCGTCTGAACCGTGTGGCTCCACTACTCTGACTACTTGGGCCCAACTTTGTCGTCGTCGTCGCCTTCGTCGGGCCAGAGCTTTTCCCCAAAATGTAGGCTTTTGTCAGGCCAGCGAATCGGGCACGAATAGGCACCCGACTTCCCCCTCCCCACGCCCCCTGTCACCCCTTTGGAATGTGGCGACTGGCTGGCGAGTAGAAATTAAAGCTCTGTCTCTGCCTCGGTCTCCGTCTCGGAATCGTTTCACGGGCTCAGTTACAATTTCAGTCTCTGGTTTTTGTTAGCATTTGCACTCAAAAGTTTGCGTTGTTTGGATTTTGTTATTTTATTGTGGCTGTCGACGTAGACGCAAGTCCTTTCCTATCCTGTCCTGTCCTGCTCTGTGCTTTTGCCAGAGCAATTTCTTTCCATGTAATTGTTTTCGTTTCGTTTGCTACATTCGTTACTTTCATAATGAAAACAGAAGCAGAAACGATAGAAGAGTCGCCAAATAGTATCTGCCAAATGTAGTCATAATTGTGCACTGCAAAAAAGCTGACTTTGGTAAATAGTAAATATTTAGCTCAAGTGATCAAATATTTACTTCGACTACATAATTGAAAGTGACTAACAAAGATAGGAAAGGTAAGAGTGAGAGAGGGAGAAGGAAACGGAGAAGGAGAAGGACATAGAGAAGGAGAGAGCGAAGGAGAAAGAGATAGAGAGATTAAAAAAGGAGGGAGCTATATAGATAGATAGTAAGCGGGAGAGAGAGGTAGGCATAGAGAGGTATAGAGGGAAAGAGCACTATGTAGATAACGAGTAAGGCAGGGAGAGAAGGAGATATATAGAAAGAGAGCAATATAGAATATTGAATAAAGAAAATATTCGCTGTTTCACTTACTAACATGTGAAAAGAAAACATATTTCTATTATATATAAAGAATTATATCATGAGAATTGCAGAGAAAGGCTCCACCTTTTTTAAATATAACCAACAGAGAAAATATTTCTTTATCTATCTTTAATTTATTTAAATATTTTTCAATTCATATTTATTACTAAATCTGTTTATTACTGAATACGAATTATTTTGAGAATCACAAAGAAAGGCTATATAAATTGTTGTGAAAATTATTCAAAAATGGATTTAGTTTTACTAAAATGTAATATATCTATATTTTCAATGAATCTGAGTGATTTCATTTAATTCATTAGAGTAAGTTATTATGAGAATTACAAAGAAAGGCTTAAAATATTATTTCTTAATTACAGCTCACAAATAGATTTTGTTCTTCTTTATATTTATTTTACCTTAAGTAAATTTATGGTATTTCATATTTTTTAGTGCTATGAGAATCACAGAGAAGGACTAAATTGTTGTTTTAAATAATATTTGATAAGAAAAATTTGATAAAATAAAAAGTTAAGAAAAATGCATATTCATAATCAATGTAAGTGCCATGATCCAGTTTTAGTTTGTCAAGGGAGCATTTACAGTGGCTAAATGCATTATCTGCACAAAGTGCCTCATGTTTAATTGCTTATCAAGGTGATCTACTATTTTTTTTAGTGCCCTATAAAAAGCTAACACAGTAAACAGCACGCAAGCCGAGCCAAGCCAAACAGCAGCAGCAGCAGCAATAACAAGGAGCTACCACACCCACACTCGCACCCAAAACTTTTCGTCCTGCACAAATCTCACTCAATAGTCCGAAAAGCAAGCAGTCGCTAGGCCAGGTAACGAACGAACCAGGCAAACATCAGCTGTGGTGAAAGCTCTCTCCCAGTGCGCGCTCTCTTTGCACACACTCTCTCGCCCATACTCTTTCACTCTCGCTCTTCCACATACTCTCTCTCTGTCTGTCTCTCCCACGCGCTAAACTCAACACATGGCGAAACGTCAAAAAACGCTTTGACAGCCAGGCGAATATCGAAGGCAAAGCAAAGCAGCGCAAAAAGTCAAAATGAAGTTCGCCAGGTAGGCACACAGCACGCCGCCCCATTGGAAGCTGCGCCCAAAAAGCGAGAGCGAGACAGCCAGTCACAGAGTGAGAGCGAGAGTGTCTTTGTTGAAAGTGTGAGTGTGAGTGTGAACGACACGTTGTTGCATTTCGCACACTGGCACAGCGGGCAGCATATTAGGCACAAAAAAAAAAATATATATATATATATCGGGCTTAGGCTGGACGAAGGTTGGCCCCAAGGTGTTGACGAGTGTACACGTGCTATAAAAGAGTGGGGGTCCGATTGAAGGCTAACGCGCTGCTCCACTGCCGTCAGAGCCTGCACCATCGACGTACTTGTTAGCCGTGCCAAAAAGTTTTCTAATTGAATTTCATGTTTTGGGGCCTGTTTACGACGCTGGTCCAACGTGAACCCAACCCGACACGACCTGACCCTCGCCTTATCAGTAGCTGCTGCTGCTGCTGCTGCTGCTGCTGCTGCGGCTGCTGCTGCCTCTGTATTGGAATTATGTCACGTTGGCTGCGTCATTCTGTCTGCCTGGCTTATTGATTATTCTCGTTTATGACGAAATGCGTACGCCAAAATAGTTTACACACGCACACACATAGACAGCTATGACGTCATTGTTAACCCCGGAGCTTTTTAACCGCTACTAGCATTTGCCCACACTTGGCTGTCAACTTGTCGCGCCTCACACTGCAGCGCCCACCTCGCACGCCAGCTCCTCTGCTGGCTGCCATGGAGACGTCAGCTCGACTCATTTCCATTTTCATTTAAGGCTTGAACATTTTTCACTAGTTTGTAAAAGTTTTGTTCGAGAGCTTTTCAAGCCCACCCATAGTCGCCCACACGTCGCAACGGCTTTTGGGTTTGGGCTCTCAATCTCAATTTGTTTGACTGCTTTTATTATTGCGGCTAGAGATTTATGTTTGTCATTCAAGTGATCTAATTAAAGTTCCTGTGAACCAAATTATATATCCACACAGAAAACAAGTAAGAAAGCTCTAGTCGGGGTGCCCGACTAGGAGATACCCTGATCCCAGTCCTTTGAGTTTTGTAATATTTTCCGTAGTTTGTATCGAGTATTAAAAAAAAAAGAAAACAAATAAAAATCGACATTGCGAGACCAGGATTCGAACCCGGATTATTTGCGCAACGTGCACAAACTCTACCAACACCGCCACTTCATAACTAAAAAAAAAAAATAAATAAATAATATAAAACAATAAAAAACATTTCATCTCCTCTGGTCTCGAACCCGGACCAAGCTGCATCCGAGAGGTGCCTCTACCAACGCAGCCACTGCCCTTCTTACGCGAGCTGTTGCAAATTTGAACATAAGTAGCAGCTAATAATTCAGCACAATTCAATCGCAATTTCAATTCTTGGAATAGAAAAGTATACACGCATTTGAATGTATGTGTGCACACGCATAGGAAAAATGCGTGCGCGTGGCGCTGCTGACATGTGCTTTTGCAAATTGGCCAAACGTTTTGTTTAATAACTTCTGTTTTACTTAATGGATTTTAATGAAATTTTCAGCATATGATCTACATATCCTATTGGCTTGGTTGAGATGCAAACGCCTTCACATAATGGCCCTAGTTCCAACTAAACTTAAATTCTAAGAATTTGGGGGAATTTGGAGCCGGTATCCAAAATCCAACAAAAATCAAAATTGCATAAAATATACATAACACTAAATACAAAATTTGGAGGCTCTAGCTCTTAAGACGTTCGAGATATAATTTATTTACTGCATTTCAATAATGTTTTTATTCGATAACAATTAAATGCGAATAGTTATCGAATATTTGAAACAAACTTGACCTGCGCGTGCTATACACGGACCTACAAAAAAAATTTCAAGTCTCTAGCTCTTATAGATGCTGAGATCCACGCGTTCACACATACGGACAGACGGACAGACGGACAGACGGACAGACGGACAGACGGACAGACGGACAGACAGACAGACGGACAGGGCTCAATCGACTCGGCTTGTCGTCCTGATCAAGAATATATATACTTTATGGGGTCTGCCACGCCTCCTTCTGCCTGTTACATACATTTGCACAAAACCATTATACCCTGATTTCCCATTTTTAATGGGATCAGGGTATAAAAAGGGGACAAGCTGTCGGGATTTACTTTCTGAGCTCCTCATTCGCTGCGTAGGTGAAAGTTGGCTAAAAAGTCAAAAAGCTAAAAGCAAAAAGTTGAAAACTCAAAATGTAATTTATTTTCATGTCCTGACAAATTTAATGGAATGTGCTGACCCGTTAACCCGCACATTCGCTAGCTGAGAGCTTTTCTAGAAAGGGTTCGCCGCTCTGGCAACGGGCAGTGGACAGCGCTGATAGTATCGCAGGTAAACCAGAGCACAAAACCCTCTTCAACGTAAGCCCAGATATTTGTTAGGCCTAATATAAACAGATTAAATGGAAAATCTATAGATAGGCTACTCGAGAGTCGACGGAAAATATCTGATTATTATTAATTATTGCGGCGATTAGGGCATGTTATGAGAGCCTGTCTACAGCACATATTGAGCTGCCTTTTATCTATCTAATTTGAGTGGGTTGGTCAATAGAGTAATGGATCAATGAATGACATAAGTTAACAATACTTTATCAAATTGAATCCTCCTCCACGTCCATCTCCATCTCCACCTCTTCCTCCTTCTCCCCTTTGTCTTGCTCTCTCTCATTTTCTTTCCTTTATTCCTTATCCTCTTCTTTCTCTTGCATCTTGTCTTCTCCATTTGATTCTCCTAATCCTCTTCCTCTTACGTATTTTCATTCTTCTCCGCTTCCTTCTCATTCTTTTACGTCTTTTCGCTCTCTTACATCTTCTCCTCCTCCTCCTCATTTTATGCTGTTTCTCATTCTCCTTTTCCTCCTTATGCTTCTATTTTAAATTTCGCATTTTCGCCTTCTCCTTCTTTTCTTCCTGATTCTCTTCCACCACTTTTTTTTAACGTTTTCTCGCTCCACTCGTCTTACTGCTTAGCCTCCTCCTTCGCTTTCACTTAATTCTATTTATTTTCCTGTTTCTCTTTTTATTTTCTTCTCTTCCCTGCTCCTTGTTCTCTTTCTTTAAAGTAGTCTCTCTTTCTCTATATTCTTCTCTCTTCTTCTTCTCTCACGCTCTTCGCTTCATCAACATTTCCCGTACAAGTTTCGAAACTTCTCTCTCTTGGCTACTTGTCTTCATGAGAATCGCATAGTAGAGCATATTATTATTGTTCCACATTCTGTAATAGTAAAAGGCAAAATACTTATTTTCGTTTTTATATTTACACACATTCTCTTTAATGTATTTCTGCTTAGTTCTTGCTCTTAATTGTTTTCTTTTCGAACTCATATTTAATATGCCTTCATACAAGTACTATGGATTGATATATGTATAATTCTTTAAATTGTTATGCTAAATATACACACAAATACAATATCTTAACTAGATGTAAGGTGCGGGGCAGCTCAACAAAAGTTTATATGCCGAAGTGTAGATACTCTTTCTGTTCTCTCCCCACACTTTATATATTTAGTTACAAATTTGTATTACCAAATATATATATATATATATAAATATATATATGTTTAAACAATACACGTATAGCAATAATAAAACATCTATACAAATACATATCATATTGGTTGGGGCTTTGCATCAAAATAAAGTACATAGACTCGTCGACTTAACGAGTTATCGTCGAAAAACTAATATCGATTCTAACTTCAAAAATTATTGTACTAAATTTTGTATATCAATCGCTTAAACAATATCAATATTAATATCAATATCAGTAAATAGTATATATATATGTATGTTTTATAAATATCAGCAATTATTCCAGTTTTTAGAGTTCACATATATGTATATATATATAGAGTATGTGTATGTGTGCGTGATAAACGGATTTTGAATGGAGATTACAAAAGTTGAGAGTTGTACTACGAGCTAATTGACGGGTTAATCGATAGCTAAAAGCTCTGCTATCGATCAGTTGTGAGAGAGATTGCTGTAATAAATAAATTAAGACACTATTATCTAAAAACAAACTTGTTTTGTCATGTGCGAATCGTGTTTCTATATACTATATACAAGCGGGAATCGGTTTATGTACTCTACTCCTCGCCCTCATATCCCAAGCACCACAACTGGGACAGGGGCACCAGTGTGGACTAGCTGCCCCCGTTGCCAGCTTCGTCCTTGCGTGGTCGCAGTATAAAATTAAGATTATAATTGGTATTCACGGCATAGTAGACATTCGCTGTCTTTGGCATAACCAGCTCCTTGTCGGGCAGCACCTGGGCAAGCGTAAAACGATCCGGATCGTCCTCCAAGCCGAGCTTGAGCATCGCATTCCTGATGACCTGTGGCGTACGCTCATTGTTGCCCAGCATTATGCTCTTGTACAGCACGATGCCGTCCAGCTCAATGTTGTCCGTCTCGTAGGTCACTCGGATGATGTAGAAATCCGGTGCGGATTGGGTGGTCACACCAGCCGGCTGCACCAGCTGTGCATTGATGTGATTGTGTGGGGAGCCACCGTTGGTGGTGCCATTAATCAGCGCAGCATTCTTCAGTCCGTTGCCCAGCGATTGGGAGTGGGTTAGCTTGCTGTGGGCCGATTGCCGTCCGCCTGAATTGCTGGAGTCCATGGATAGATTGGAGGTGCTGCTCGAGGCGGACATCAGCGAGGCATGATGCGCATCCCTGTCGAGCGAATTGTGCCTGGAGCTGGTGCTGCTATTCAGCTCACAGTAGAACTGCGAGCCAGCCCCGCTGCTCGAATTGGAGTGTATGGAGTCAGTCTTGCGATGGCCGTGTCCAGCGCTGCCCATAATCGAGGCCGTGGACGAGGCCGTCGTATTCGTTAGCGACGTATTCGTGCTGGCCACCGATTTACGCGGCGCTGGCGGCGGTGGCTCCAGCTGGCAGCTGAGAGCAAACGCCTGCCGCTCGTCCAGCAAAGGCATCGAGCCGAACCAATGATCGAAGAGCGCATCCTCGTGCAGATTGTAAGTGTTGGCAGCGCCTTGCAGCAGCTTGATCTGGGCCAGCACCTCAAACTCCTTGCGCTTCTTGTCAAAGTTGATCAGCTTGTCCTCAGTCAGATAGTCCGGATTGGCCGTGTGTATCATGGTCAGATCTGTGAGAAATGTGCCCAGATATGGTATCGTGCCATGCGACGTCTGTGTGCCCAGGTTCTGTATGAGCTTCTGTAAATGACGATCCGTTTGATCGCCAGCCGGATCTGGATTCTTGGCTGTGCCCTCGCGCTTCAACACCTCACGCAAAGTCCAGGCATTGTTGTCTTCCGAGCAAATGCGTGCGAGTTCCGTAAAGATTTCCATCTGCAAAATGAATAAATATAATTTAAAAAGAAAGTTAAATTGAGTTTTCTAATCTTGAACCTACGCGCTCTTTGGGCAAAAACTCCCAGACCTTGGACAGTCGGTAAATGGAATTGGAATTGAGTCCGGAAATAATGGCCTTCAAGGAGCTGAAGTTTTTGAGCATGCGCAACTCCTGCGCTATATCAATCCAGCGTGAGATGTTCAAGGCGCGTTCCTGTCGATTAGAGAAGCGTTTAGCAAGAGATTCCCGCCAGCTTGAAGATTCACACTCACCTGTGGCTTCAGCCGATCGATGAGTATGCTGGAGACAACGCGAAACAGCACCGCATTGAACTGATTGATGGTGGCAACCACCGTTTCGGAGCCGCCACTGTCCCGCCTAGCCCACGTATGCCCCAAGCACTGATGCGGTATCAGACGCTTGAAGAGCTCTGTGTCCATGCGGGTGAGCTGCTCGGCAAAGTGACGGACGGGCACATGAGGAAAGCGAAAGGCCTGCATAAAGTGCGTGGGTCCCCGGTACATGGGCGCCAAGTAGAGGCCACTAAATTGCTCGCTCAAATCGTATTGGGAGCCGCACGGTGTGTGCATCATGAACTGCGCCTGCCCCGACGTTTGCGTCGCCAGCCAAGGCAGGCCAGAGCCATCGCCATGATGGCTAGCACCTCCGCCGCCACCGCCTCCTCCATAGACCTGCTGCCTGAGCAAACGCTCCAAGCGATTCAGCACTTTGATATGCAAATCGGAGCGCTTGAGGCGCTTGCTAGCAAATGCCAGAATCTGCTGCAAATTATCCTCATGCCAATCCTCGGGAAAGCCATCCAGCCATACATGCAGCGCGGAGACTAGAGTTTTCTTGTGCTGCTCATGTATGGAGGCAGGCGAATCATAGCTGGTATCCTCTTCTTGGCTGCCATTCTGTTGCGCCAACTCCAGCTCCTCGACGTGCTTCTCATGCAGCGCATCGTAGCGCTGGGTCAGCAGACTGAGCACCTGTTTCGGCGTCGAGAAGGTGCGATACGTGGACAGGAAAACATTGATAAACGTCGACTCCAATTCACCATCATCGGTGGCCAAGGCCTCCACAAGGCGCGCCAATGTGGCTGCCTTGACAAATCGCACACGCACCGTCTCCCACTCCAGATGAGAAATTTCATCATCCGAGTCTTGCTGCAAGAAAATAGCCGAGGGACATTAAGTTGCGAACGGATAGCTTTAGCTATATCTATATATATATATCACTTACATTGCTAGCCGTGGGCGTTGGTCGATGATAGCGCACCTTCTTCAGGTAGACAGTGAAAATTGCATTCTTCTCGTGCTCCTCGCCCCACAGGCGCCACGTGGGCTATAAAAAGTAAAGAGAAACCAATCAAAATGTCAAATTAGCAAAGTGGCCAAAGGCTAAGTAATTAATCTATGTATATAGATAGATATGTATGTATGTATGTATACATTTATGTATGTATGTATGTATATATGTGTGCTTTAGTATAATTAATCATTCATTCATTTATAGCAGCATTTTCGACTATTTATAAATCAATATAAAATTCGCTTAAAACAAGGCAAGAATTTTGTGTTTTCAAATATTTCCAATATAAACATTATGTCAAAAGAAATTGTATTTAAGCTAAAGTGTTGTTGCTGTTCTTGTTGTTATTGTGTTGGCCAAACAGGCCGACACATTTCCACATTTTCACATTTCCCGTCTGAAAATTCATTCACATTTCGCTACATTTTCGATTTGGCATTTAAATTGCTTAATAAATATTTTGTTAATAGTCCATGGCTCTGACTAAGGCAGCCATGAATAATAAATAACAACAAATTCAATTTCGATTTATAGCCAATGTTCTAAATGCCATTGAATGGCATACAAATTCTATATATATATATTTAAGTATATTTATATATATACATTCCTTCCTCAAAAACAAAATCCATTTTAAAAGCGATTCCCAGGGGGTTCAAAGTTAATTGATCTAATTTAATAAAGGCAAGCTATAATATAGACGAGCTCAACCGACTGCTTAATACAGGCTCAGATTGCAAACAGTAAAACTCAAATTATTAAAAATCAATTCTTAATCATTTGTCACGACTCAATGGCAGCTGAGTAATTGAGTGTAGTAGAGTATAGTATAGTAAAGTCGTATAGTAGAGTAGCAGAGTCGAGTATTAGAGTTAATTAGTAGAGTAGAGTACTAGAATAGAGTAGAAGAGTAGTGTATAGTTCAGTTGAGTCATAGAGGAGTGTCGTTGAGTAGAAGAGTTGAGTCGTAAAGTAGAGTAGAAGAGTAGAGCATAGTAGAGTTGAGTCGTAGCGTACAGTACTGTAGATAAGCAGAGTGGAGTAGTAGAGTTAGAGTAGAATAGAAGAGTAGAAGTAGAGTAGTAGTAGTAGACTAGATTAGTAGATTGAAGTAGGAGTGTTTCAACCTGGTTATTTGGTCTGTAACATTTGAAAAGACATCTTTTCCGTTTAAATAAAAAACACAATAATATAAAATATATATTTAAATTTCCAACGAGGTTCTTCCTCTAAGCAAATAATTTCGCCATTAAAAATTATATATTTTCATATGTATATGTATATATAAAAATATTGATAGGCTCAATTAATACTAAAGGTCATTTAAGTCACATGCCATTAATTATGTATTTAAGTTTGTGTAAATATTTAAAAGTTTGGCTAAAAACGCAAATATCTCAAATATTTGCATGCATAAAAATTCTAAATTGAATAATAAAATGCAAAAATTAATTTCAAACAAAACAAATGCAATTGCTCTATGTGCAGGTGTGTATATACACATGTTAACATGAATGAACGTATATATATATATGTATACAAAACAAAAAAAGAAATTAATTAAATTCATAAATTCATTTAATTGCAATTGCGTGAAAATGCAATGAATGAATCAAGCCATAAGAAAATTGAATAAGTAAAGCGATGAAAACAACAACAACACGCAAGTTGCTATTGTGTGAGTGTGTGTGTGTGTACGTGTGTGCACAACAAAACATATGTCGGAAGCTGTTTTGAAGACCTGCCCCCAGACCAAGCAGCCATGGCCTGCATTTATAGAAAGATTCGCTCAGTGAGCTAGATGTCAATGCTAAATAGCCCCCCGCCCCCAATCCTGCACTTTCAGTTGACCCCACACACACACACATACATCAGCTCATACATATGCTTATATACACGCACACTCTGGCACGTCTGCTGTACATGTAAACATTAATGAATCTCATGTTCGGCCAATTAATTGCCCGCATGCGCTTTCATTACACACACAACAACAATTTCTACAACAACAACAACACAAGCCACAGCAAATCCTGCATTCAAATATGTTTAGTTTACTTTTTTGTTAGCCGTGGCCGTGTCTGAGCTTCTGACCTCATTTCATAAAATTTCGTGAATTGTTTGAATATTTCGTAAAAAAAAGAGAAATAAAAAAACAACAAAAACATTTTGGGCGTTAAGTGGTCGGCGCAATTTGTTTTATGATTGTGATATGCGCTATAAAAAGAGGAGCATATTAACTTGAGCAAACATGATGTAACAGGCTAGCAGACATGGCCAAGGGCTGAAGCTAGATTTATGTGTTTAAAGTGGAAATTTCATAAACATATTTTTGATATACTACACTTTAATTTATAGGGTATGCTCTAGCTATAGCAAGCACATGCTAAAGATTTATATAATTAACTTTATAAATTTATAACAAATTTTAATTACAGTTTTCTGCTGCTGCTTTATAGCCTTAAAAATGGTCTTGAAAAGTGCATACATTTTTTATTAAAGAGTATCTTCCCGTCGACCCACCCGCAGCCAATGCTCTCCCTAGATTGCTGTAGGCAGCTGTAGGTCTTTCGTAGCTGCCCAGCCCCATAAATAACATTGGCAAAAATGTTGAAAATTTGTTTTGTTTTGTTGTTAGTTGTGTAAACTACTTAGTATACTTATTAGGCGCCAATGTTTTCACTTACAACACTGCGCTTGGAGTGCTTAAGTGTTGGGTAATTCAATTTAATGACTTTCATTCACAGCATTTCACGCAGCTTCAACTTGAATCTATATCAAAATTGGCAGCATAAACAAAAGCAAAGGCAAAAGCTACAACAGCTGCGAAAACAACGTCGCTACGACTGCTTCCTGTGAAGCCCAAAAATTGAAGCAACAAATTTTAACAAATTGCAATTGTTTCTGCGTTTCGCTGTTCGCTCATCAAGTGAAACAGAAGAGCATATTGGTTGCTACAATAGTTGTCTTGAACTTGGAAATGTGGAATATACAGTTAAGATCTGATGTCGTCTGAGTGTGAAGATTTTATAGTGCGTGGGTGGCATATCGGCAGAACTTTAGATTGTCATAAAAAATATAATGGTTTTCTATATGCTGCTAGAGACTTGGAATTGGACAGTTATGTCTGTATAGATCATGAAATTATCAAGTTAGGAAGGTGGCAAATCAAAAATAATATATCTTTCATAGTCTTTTAGGGAAGAATCTTTGAAATTAATTAGAAACAGTTGACTTTTTTTAGAGATTGAGCAAAAATTATATTAAATATTATTATACAAACGAAAAGACAATATCTCTCACAGTTTAACAACTTATACCACAAGCAATGTAGTTTTCTATTAAGGTTCTCTTGAGTGCGTGAATAATCAGTGTCAAATGTAACTAAACTGACTTTAGATCTTTGATCTTCGATCTTTGAATTTCAACAAGTTGCTATCTGTAATCCTAGTCTACAGATGACACCAGCATAATATTTAAATACTATAGCTTATCTACCTCAACTTCAACTTGAGAGATGCAAATAAACAAAGTAAAGTATAGCTTCAGTTGCTGCAGAACTTTGAACCTTGAATATTGTTGCTTAATATTTTCGATAAATGAATTTATTTTTGTAAATTTTATGAATTCAGCTACTTTGGCAAACCGCACGAGCATTAGACAGTCATTAACGCCCGACTGCAAGGTTTTTGTTCATTTTTTTGTTGTCTTTATATTTTTTTCTAATTGCTGTGTACTTATGTAGCTTGTGATTCGGCTGGCTGATCTACACATGCTACTTCCCAAATAAAATAAATACGTGTGTCTATATGTTTATATATATATATTATATGTATTATATATATATATTTATTTGTGTTTATATGTAGCAAACTTGAAGGCAACTTTTAATCAATTCACGGGGAAAGATCAGCCAAGTCATTTGACTTTTCTTCTTTAATTTTTTTATTTTCTTTTTTGTTTCGCCTGTCGAAATAAGAAATTTGTTCATTTTGTGTGTAAACACAGATACACACACACACGCAACATACATGCAAATATGTATGTGAATGCATACATATGTATTTATTTAATTTATTTGTTATTTATTTGGCGTTTTGTATGTTTTTTTTTTGTTTAAATGCTGCTGCTACTTCCCTCTCTTTATATATACATATATGTATAAATATGTGTATGTATGTATCTATGTGTATGCTTCCATATATTTGCTTCATTTGCTGTGCTGTTTAATTAATGACGCACTATGCTAGCTTGTTTTTAGTTTCATTTACGTCAAAATTATTTTAGCAATGTTTATTGAAAACAACAATTATTAAAGCCAGAGTATACAGAGTATAGTAAACGCTTGCAGCTGCAGCTGTAGCTGTTTGCCGCACTAAACGATCAATTAGACTACAGGTAGCTAAGGTAAATGAATGTATGATCAGCATTAGATAGACTCGGAATACACACGAAGAGTAAAATAAAATATTAATTAATAAAGAAAATATATAATATTAATTTAAATTTTATAGTTAATTTCTAAACTCAAAAAAATAATAAATAAAAATAAAATAAAATTAAATTAAAAACAAATATAAACAGCTCTGTTAAAGCCATATTTAACTCTCATTGTTTAAAAAAAAAAATCGAAATGCAGAAATAAAATGTTCTAGCTATTTCTATACAAAACTTGGAAAATATTTTTGCTTAGAACATTTTCGATAAAACAAAAGCGCAAATATAAATTATAAATAAAATTCTAGAAATACTAAAGGCTATAGAGCACTATAAAGAAACTAAAGCCTACCAAACTGCGTGAATTAATTAAGGTTTACCTAGCTAAAGTTCAATTTTGAGTAAACACAAACAGAGACAAATATTTTGATGGGTTCAAAGCTCCGCTTAAAATAAACAAAAGTTATTCAATGTCAATTCTTAAATCTATTTAACAAATACAAAGCTGAGTAAATACTGTTTTATAGAGTATAAAAAAAATTCGAAAAATATGTGCAGAACTCAAGATAAAATAGATTTGATTAAGTTGAAGCAATTGACTTGAATTATAAATCTAAGAAGTTGAAGATTTCTTGGTATTAAAATTTTAAAATATAAATAATTAATGAGATGATAAACTTAAGCAGGCAGAGCATATATTTTGGCTGTCTTTATGGCAGAAAAACTTACACAAATTAAAAGAAAATTTATCTATAATTAATAATTTAACTTAAAGATGGATATAATAATCTGCATTATTGAAAACATTTGGAGAGCTAACGAAAATGAAAGCCAACTAGACCACTCTGTGATCCTAGTTGAAGCAATTAAAATTAAAATATTTCAAGGCGTACTTGGTATGAAAAGGATTAATGGAAAACATAGTAAATACTGAATAATGAATAAATAATCTAGTGACTTAAGACTTTATTTAATAAAAATCTAGTGACTCAAAAGACTAATTTATTTATTTATTTTTTTGTTTAAAATATTCTGATTTAACTTTTCAAAATTTTGAAAAATGTCAAACATAAAGTAAAATATTTAATGTAAATTTAAAATTCATTAATGTTTCATTTAAATATTGAAACTGAATACTGAAACTGTTTTTAGTAAGCTAGATTGTTCAGCATTTCTTAAAGACTAACAGCAGCTTCGAGCTGTAAACAGAATCAGAGATAATGCCTAAAGCTATAAAGTCTACTATGTTATAAATGGCAATTCATAAGTATTATATAAAATAATATAAAGTGTTAAAATATGTTAAATAAATAAATATGATAAGCCAAAGCTTGAATCAGGCTCAATATTGACAATTGCAGGGTATATTGCGACTCTGAACAACTCGTAAGTTAGATAAAAAGTTAGATATAGCAAATAGCTACATCTATAAGTATATATAGCTATACATAAGTATATATAGCTGATCACATGCATTAAGACTAATTACCTTGGTGTAGGTATATTTTTTGGCATGCAGATCTTTCGTCTTCTTGGACAGATTGCGCAGTGTGGCGCCTGTGCAGGCGCACAGATACTTGAGGCTGGCGACGACTTTGCGTTCCGCATTGGCCACCGCGTTCGATGAGGTGTCCAGATCATCGTAGGAATGATAGGAGCTGTTGCGACGCTGCTTGCCAGCCGAGGAGGATGTGGAGCGTGAACGTCGCTGCTGTCGGCTTAACGTCGATGTGGGCGTGGCTGTGGGCGTGTGTGTGGGCGTTGCTAATTTCTTTTGGCGCGGGCAGGTGTTGTGATGATATAGACGCTGCTTGGCTTTGGCCCAATGATGTGGCTGCTGCTGCTGATGGTAGTTGCAGAGCGTGCTGCTGCTGTTGTTGTTGACATAACGCCAGGCGCTGCTAAAGTCTGTATTGTCCAGCGGCGGCATCAGTGCGCGATTATAGCCAGCTAAGTCCTGCAGCTGATAGGCGCAGGTGTGGCTCTTGATAAGCGTGGGTGGATGATGCAGCTGCTGCTTTTCCTTCGACTGTTTATGCTGGCAAACACAGTTCGCTTGGCTTGTGAAATTCTGCAAGCAAAATTTTTGGTTTTTGGGGCTTGGGTCAGTCTCATGTCGCACTCGCTTTCGAGCAGCGCGTTTCATTTTGTACTTGATTATGGTTCATTGATTGGCATTGGCAGCGCTGCGAAACTAACCGTGAAATGAGTTCATTCACATCGCCTCAGACATCGCCATCGACAACTCATCTCACTTGAGAGCTGAGTCGCTGTCAATGCCTAGGGCTTGTCTGCCCGCCCCTGACCTTGCCTACAATTTTCGACTTAGAGATAGACGCACAATATATAAAAATACACTTATATTGTTCGGCTGTCAGCAGCCAGACTCATAAACATAGGCACAGCTACAACAAATATCAACAACCCCAACAATGGAAAGCAACTCAAGTGGCGTCTCGCTCGGCACCTTCCCATATTTGGTTAAATACTTTTCCCCATTCCAAATTGCAATTAGAGGCAACAGCCTGGCTAAGCGCTTCGCCTTTGTTTAACAATTTTTACATTTCGTGCCACGCCCCCGCTTCCTCGCCTGGCCGTAATGCCACATAAGGTATTAGCCTAGCCAAAAGCGTGCAGCACAACTTTTCCAGGAAGTTGTTTATTATTGTGGCCGATTTTTGTTGCTTCACATTCACATTGACAGCTGCGCGCGCGATTTTTATACATTGCAATACACTGACAGAAATTGGGCCTACGAAGCTGTGTGAGACAACGTGTAACGGAACAGAAAGAGAGGTGAAGGGAGAGGCAGTCAATATGGCAAGATCACTCAAGATAGCTCTCGCATATATAGTTTATTTATAATTATTTATAGTGTATTTAAAATTCGTTTTGTTTTTAATGCGCGATGCCAAATTTGTTGAAAACATTTGTGGCCATTTGTGCAAGGAAATCGTTGTTGGAAAATGCGTTTTCATTTTCCGTTTCACGCTCGTTTTATGGCAATTCGCCTTGAAGCTTGTGTATGCACACAGTATTTATTAGACGTACGTAGTTATTTGCGAGCAACTGTAATGGAGCTGCAAATTTCATGTTGAGTGTCTTGGCCATAAACATTTGGGCCACAAACTGTGCCCAATTCAAGCGTCAGGCCATGATGCTCCACATTGCATAACTCGTTTCATGTTTGTTCTCTTAATGGGCTGGGCCTTTCCTCTGAAATTGTCAGCTTTGCAGTTATCTAAGCAAACAGATCAGCAGGTCAGGCCGGTGGGTCGAACCCGTGCCGGATGCTGGCCCGTGTCCATGGCAAACGTCTTTCCATATGAAACGTGCCGCAATTCGCGGCGCCTCGACATTTAATTCGTATACAGCAGCGATTAATGTTAGGATCATAAAATATGCCAGGCCAGAAATAAACGCATAAAGCATTCAAAGCCAACCGCACGCAGCTCTCAGTTCCACAATTTCACACTCATAGCAAAGTAAATATATATAGGAAAATATATATACACACATATAAGTATATATAGGAATTGCCAGTTAATCTGGCACGTTTCAGCACAGATTTAGATTAAATGTGAACAGTTGCAACAGTTTGCCTGCCACATTCCAGCTAACATATATAATCGCATAGCGAAAGAGATTAATACAGCTCGACAGGTCTTTAGCCTTAAAAAGAGAAAAATATTTGCAAAAATTTGCTAGGCTAAGAGCTGCTTCACAGAACTATTGATTGATTGATTGACTGATTGACTTATTGATTAAGCTTACGATTTTTGGAATAATCGAGTATGGCTGTAAGCAAATGAGAATAGGCAACTTGTGCTCTGAACCAGGCTAACTGAAAAGAAGCTTACTTAAGTCTTAAGAATTCATTAGAAAAAATCTAAAATAAATCTTATGAAAAGTTTTTGTCAGAAATCGAATTTATTTATTTATTTTTAAAGGAAAGGAAGAAAGGAAAATTAGCAATAAGTTAAGATGTATTAAAAAAAATTAATTACTTATTTAGTTATTTGAAAGAGAACATAAATGCAAAATAGTTAAAAGATTTTTATATTTTTAGGAATTAAAACATATAATATTTTATTATAAATATAATTTTTATTATATTTATCATATATATTATATATCTTATATGCACTTCATATTGTTTCTGCTGCTCTGGCTACAAATTCGTGCTCAGTCTGAGTTAGTAAAATAAATAAAATAATAATTTTATCTTTCTCCCTCGCGCCAAGCTCTGTGCACGTCGAAACAGATGCAAATAATTAGTTTTTAGATGGAAAATTAACTTTTCCTAATTATTTCAAGAATGAGTATAATAATAAAAATAAAAAATAATTATAATTTGTTTTCATATATTTAAATAAACTATTTCTTTTAGCAACTATTACTTTCAGTAACTAATACTAATCAATCTACTTGAAAATCGAAACAGCTAAATTGTTTCTTACCTAACAGCAATTATTAAGACATTAACCCACAATAATCTATAGATACATATATATATATATATATATATATATACTGCCAAACGCGATAAATGACAAATCGATTGATACAAATTTGGTTTTCGAGTCACGTTTCTCGATATGCCAATTCATTTGTTTTTAAATGCTTGATTGAAATTTTGTGCATCATGCTGAAGTGTGCAAAGTCTAACTAAATGAATAGCCCAGACCCAGATCCAGTTCAATCGTGCCAGATTTCACACAAAATTATATATATATATAGGTTTATATTTCCACATAGCATAGCATTTGCTATGCCCCCTAATCAGTATGCACATACATATTGTGGAAAGACTCACTCAACTTGATTACAACTCATTAAGTATATATATAGATATATATATGTAACTGGAAATGCAAATCGAGTGGCAGTTAAGATTGATCGACCCTAGCGATAAGTCGACGTCATTCAGAACAAAAACAGCAAATTGCAGTTGACTCATCAATGGGGGGAAAATACATCCAAAAATAAGACTACGAGACTAAATTAATAAAGTCCTAAGGAAATACAATGTTATTTTTGTTTGTGGTACTATATAATTTTAGCTCAACAATTGCCAAGTGTTTGGAAGGCAATTATAAAGACATAAAGCTAAATTATGTCAAATTGCTCCAGATGATAATGAAGATGAGGTAAATGATAATGATGACGATGATGATGAAGCCGATGACGAGGCATTTCACATGAGCTTTCCGTCTAAATATAGAACTGTGGGATTTGACCTTAGTGCGGCCTGATGGCTAATGGCAAAATTCTATTGACTGGTGTGTTGGCGTCTGCCTGTGTGTGTGTGTGGGTGTGTGTGTGTGGGTGTGAGGGTAGACGCCATGGCTTAATTGACTTAGCTGCGACGCAAATGCAAAAGATGTTGCAAAAATAGCTTAATACAACCCCTCCCCCCTCTCCCTCCTCATCCCACCTGCCATCACCGCCCACGCCCCCCTCTGCTGCCAGCTAAGAACGGACAGTAACAACATCAAAGTAAACAATCGATGGGCAGCTGTAGTTGGGTTGGGTTGGGTCAGGCAGGGGGAGCCTGATTGTTTTGCCCGGTCTATTTATATGGACGCGACCCCAAAGCCCGGCCACGAGTTGGCTCTTGCATTGATAAACAGCAAGAGGCAAACAAACAATGCAAATGTACAAAAAGCACAAAGCAAATCATGTAAAAGTTATTCAACAATTCAGTGCTTGACTAGAAAATACCCTGTATGAGAAAGCTTTAACTGCAAAAGAGGTCAATTTTATATACAAATGCATCATTTGAGTTGGGTGTATATAAAAATGTATATACCAGTCAGTTAGTCAGGGCTATACTTCTTATTGTATATTATATATAAGGTAAATACAACTTGCAGAGTACATTCTACTTATATATGCTATATATTGCTTACATATCACCTATGGCGTGTCTTAATCTCTTCCATTTGTTTAAAAACACAAGCCAAAAATCGATAATTATCAAACGATTTTTATCTAATATAAAATCTTTAGCTTTACCAAACAAGCAAAGTAGTTTACTGTCTAAACGATAAATATACCCCATTTATTAAATCACCATTTGCACAGGGTATGCAAATAAAAACTATAGCAGCAGCAAAAATATACAACAGAAAAGCAACTGAGCTAAAGCCGAAATACTGCAGTCGTCTCGTGTCTCGTGTCGCATTGAGTGACTGACTAAATGAGTGTACAACGTCCGTTGGACGTTCATTTCGTCAGTTACAACTGACTGCATTCATCTCCCAACCTAGCTCTCTCCCTACCTAGCTCACCCCACGTCCGCCCCTCGCGCTCTCACTCTCTCTCTCTCTCTCTCTGTTACAGAATCACCTAGTGCCTTCTCTGTTTGCTGGGCGGCTATTATCAAACCACATCCGCTGTGCAGCAGAAATGATATATATATGCATAAATATATATATATTTTTATAACAAACAAACAGCGGATATAGAAATATCAACTTGAATTAAAGCTTGAAGCAATGAGCATAACAAGAAGCGAAAGCAAAATCGTTAAAATGTTTCTCAAAGGTGGAGAAGCAGTAAATTTACATGGGTATATTTGCATATAAAAAACAGAATGCAGGTATAAAAATGATATATATGCATTAGTTTGCACTGTAGACTAGACATAGAACTGTATATCTTCGAGTTGACAGCTAGAGGTTTCGTATTACAATACTGCTACATCTTTCTCTGAGTTGAGATTGACATAGCTGCTTTAAAGACTGAGCATATTTGCTTATATATCTTTCAAAAATTATTCTTTCCCTATCTCAATTTCTTAATTCCAAAAATCTTTTTTATAACTAGTGGTTTCTTATTGGTATGTGTATTATTTTTAAACTTTTAATACTCTGAAGACATTGAAAAGGGGAATAAGCTTAAAATACTTTAATTTAATTAGGATTCTTAACTCCGGAGAAAACATTCCTTATCAAATAGAAATTCTTGTGAAATTCTATACAAAAATCAATTACTTTTCGAGAAATGATTGATGGTTATCAATTTAATATTATATATTTATATATCATATATATCATATGACATTATAAATTTAAAATTCTTTAGATTTAATTAGAAGTTATCAAAGAACTTCTAATGTATTCTAAGATTATCTACGTTTACTTAAAAGACTATGTATTATTATCATATGAAATGCATTCAATATACTGTAGAATCAGAATTCCTTAAAGAACTTCTCAGGTCTTATAAGCTTTTACCTGTTTTAGTTAATTATTGCTTATATTCCACATACGAAACTTAATTATTTTTCTTTTTGTTTATTTATTTTTTGTTCGTAATACTCTAAGAGGATTGTCGCTCTCCATCTCTCTCCCTTCTCTCTCTCCATCTCTTTATATATTTCTCCAATTCCCCTTAAGGTTTTTCTCCAAGTGTAAATACTTCATATTGATTGGCACTGAGCAGCTTTTCAAGGCGCTTTGCCCAGCTACGCCTTAAGTTTTCCAAGCCAATGGATGTGTCCATAGCTTCACATATAAATACATATATTTACGTATAATTGCTGTTGACATTTTCAGAGACGCAAGCAACAACGACAACAATATCATAGAGCACATATGTCTCTGCTCTTGAAAAACTATATATTTCTAATGCATAGCCCATAAATTACCTATTCGAATGCTATCAAAATCAAGTACAAAATAAAACACGCCAATTCCAGTTGGATTGGTTTAATGCTAATGGAGGGGAAATACATATATATACATATGTTTATTTGTATGTATGTCTTTGAATATGTATGTATATATATGCTAAATATGTGCGCATAAAAATTGGCGTAGGCTTAACTATTTCAATTGTTGTTATTATTGTTGGCATTTTTGTGGTGGGTTGGGTTTACAATAACAACAACAAAGAGATATTTGCTTGGGGTTTTTCTGCGTTCGTTACTCTTGCAGGTGAGAAAAATATATGGAAATTGAAATGTTTCTTCATAAACCGGAAACAATTTAAATTCTTCTATTAAGGAATTTTTTGTGAATATGGAAATGTTCAACAATTGCAATGCTCTAGGCCCAAAATAGAAGCTGCTCTAATTGTGGAGAATTTTAAGAAAATGTATATATGTATGAAAATGTATATATTAAAACTGTTAGCAATACTTAAAAAATCAAAAATTGTATTTTGTTTAATTTGAAATTTGAAATTTGACTTCAAGATATTTTTTTAGCAATTTTAAAAATGGCTTAAATAAAAATAGTTAAAACAAAATTTCACATATATTAATGAAGACACTGTTCGCAAGAGTATCAACCCGTCGACCAAAACCAAAGCTTTCATTGTTTATATTTTAGTTTTCTTCCTTATCGCACAATTTTTTATGCGCGCCTTTTTCTACTGTGTGTGCGCTTTGGCAGACAGTTGGGTTTTATTCACAGTTTTTACCATTTGAGATTGACTTTTTTCGTTTGTAATTTAAACGCAGATCCAATTGTTTTTGCTCGGTTTACTTTGCGCTTGCAATTCGTAATGGTTGCGATAAGATGAATGTAGAAAGCAAAATCAATAAATTTGCTGCTCCTTTATTTTCTGTAGCTGTGTGCGTGTGTTTGTGCCGTAAGCTAAGGCGAAATTGATGCGCATGGGGATACGATACGATATACAAATACGATAGAATACAGTACGTTGCGTTGCGTTGCGTTACGTTACGTGAAGATTTAGCTGTAAATCTAGCTTTGAGTAGTTTGTTGTTGTTTTTTTCACGTTTTTTTTTATTTATTCTTGGCTACGCACCGCGAGCGACCGGAGTCGCAGCGCCAGCTTTGCTGCCCGCTGAGGAGGATGAAGATGGATGAGTCAGTCGGTCAGCTGAGTGGGCAGGGGGTTGGCTGGGCTGCAGCGCGTACACAACCCCCGTTTTGAGCGAAGGGTTCGGGTTCGGGCTCGGGTTCGTTGCACTACGTTCAATTGGCAGGCGCGTTCTCCTTATGTTTATGTGTCTGCCTTTCTTCAACTATTGCTTTGCTTGCACACACTCATACAAACACACACATACATACGTATGTATGTTTTATGTATTGCACGTTTTTCTTTTCAGTTATTTATTTGCATCCTTTTTACATACACAAAATTAAGCAACCACTAGACGCAAATTTTCTTGCACATTAGATAATTAAGAACAATTTATAAAACATTTCGCGTTTCCGATTTCGAAGCTTCCTTATTTCGTATAATTCACCGCACAGAACACTGAATAAAAAAGGTTCTCTGGCGAGACGGTGACGGGACAACCGCTGCCAACAACTGTTGAAAACGCACTCAGCGACCAGTTCGACCCGAGATCCGTGACAGCCCCAACATCGCCATACACACACACACACGCATGTACACTGGGCACGCTCGGCTTTTGTTCTCGTTCTCTCGCTCTCTGCCTCTCTTAGAACAACACGAGCGAGGGTTGTACGAGCGACCTCTGCCGACGCGTTGGCGTTAGCACAGTGCTCACCGCTTCGCCTCATGCCTCCCCTCTCGCTATTGTTCGCTCTCAGGTAATTTGTTTGGGTCGTGGGAATTTTGCACCCACTCGTATTTTCCTCATTACGCTCTGTTTATGTTTTTTTTAGTGAGCGGCTCTCATTCTCGTGCGTTCCCATTAGAAATTGCCCTTGTGCTCGCACAGCGGCTCTCTTGCTGTGTTTGCGTGTGTGTATGCGCCCGTCAATGGGTAGCGAAATATAATAGAGTGGAAAAAGCTCTCTTACAAATTTGTATAGTAATATATGCGCATACACAACGTTTGAATTCGCATATAAATTCTTTTTTACCAGCATTGATATGTAATAAAAATAGTTAAGAAACAAATATAAAATTCATAAAATATATTTATATTGTTTTTTTTACAAGGTGTGTGAAAAAACTCAACTGACCAACACAATGGAATTCATAATATTTGATAACATCAGCAATATTTATGTGGCTCTTAAAATTCCAAGACAAGTTCCCTCCAAACATTTAGCTAAATTGATTTATGTGAAAAAGCCAAAAAAAAAAAAACAAACATTTTTCCACGTTCCGTTTTGGGGTGCCGAAGTAACCGCAAATATCAGCGCCCAATGGCATAATTATGTAAATTTATATACATATATCTATGGCTAAGCATTGTCCAGCCGGTCTTTGGGTCTTTCATATGCCCCAAATATATATATATATATATATATATATAAAAGAGAGAGTCAATCAAATATGAAAACAATAAAAATACACAAAATACGGAAATTAATAAGCCTTAATTTACGTAAGCGCCAATCAAACGATTTGTTTTCTATTTGTTAGGAAAAGGAATATATGGAGACCCCCAACACGAGTCAATTGATCAATTAAAGATGCAACGACGAAAGCCGACCAAAGACGACCCAACAACGCAATCAAATGATGCACAACTCGGCAAAAGTGAATCAATACAAATGAGGCAAAGACAAATATATTTCAATGTCATTGCTTTTAGCAAAGACAAAGAGAAAATGTATAACAGTTTTGGTATAAAATTGTTAAGTAGAAAGGCCAAAGATAAACACAGATTTTTGATATTTTTTAACTGAAGCAAATACTAGCAAGAAATGTTGATGTTTAAATATATGAGAATCGCATAGAAAGCATGTATAAAAAAATTTTATAAAATTGAAATATATGAAAAACGCACATGGAGAATATGTTGAATATTTATTATTTAATATTTCAATTTCATTATTTAGTATAGCAGTATAACAGTTTTGGTGTAACAGTTTTTTTAGACCAAAGTAGACCACACATTAATATAAATTTGTTACACCTATAATATATTCAACAATGAGTATTTCAATGCATAAAATGCATATAAAAATAGAAAGGCTTTAAGCTATTAATGAGAATCGCAAAGAAAGGCCATAATTTAACAACAAAAACTTTGTTGTCAGCTCTAATATCAACATCAAATAACGAAATTTATATAATTTGTTAAATTATTTAATTTAAATGCTAAATTTAAGTAAAATCAGCTTCAATTGTTGCTATAGTTAACTTTTAGAGACGTTACTTCAGCTGACATATGATTAAAGTAAATATTTAGTATTATAACTTAGCAAATAGCTATTGATTGGCTTATTGTGAGAGTGTGTGACTATTTATAGAGTAGACTAAATATTAGTTAAAGCAATTAACAACTGAAATGGGTCACGACTGAGGGGAGGCTTTCTAGAGCTGTGGTAAGAAAACTGACCTAAGAGCTACGTTCAACTTACTTTCTATGCATATTCAATAGGATTTTCTATTTCTATTGCTAAACACGCACACGTAAGCACATAAGATACATATATAATTGTGTATATAGCAAAGATTTGGATACTCACCAGACTGTCGGCCACATTTTGACTCATTATACGAGGGCAGCTGCTGCAATTACTTCAATGTGCGTGCTTAGACTTTGGTAAGATGCAATTGCTGTCGTTCCTGATGATGATGATGATGATGATGACTGGTATCTGTTGGATACGCGCATTTTGACTGGTCACAGCTAACAACCATACAGCTACAGAGATACACAGATACTTGGCTTTTGGAATTGTGCAACTGGCAATAGGCGGATGTTGCTGCAATGTATTCGATGCGACGTACAAAATTTCAAGTTTTCTTTTGTAATCCAGCTGTAAGAAAGCGACGAAGAAATATAACAACAACAGCAACAACAACGGCGAACAAGAAATTGGTAAAAGCAGTGAAAAGCATTTAAAAGTCGCACAGTTAACGCGTTTTCTATACGCTCAAAGTTGGAAAGTGCGCGACGACAAATGAAATGGCCACTAAAACGTGTACATGGCCCATAGTCCATGGCATCCCATAGTCCAAGCTCTTTGCCTAGCAGACCGCGAGTGTTACTTAGCGCCCCACAATCAAGACTAAGCGCACTGGCTGCGTCTTGGCTGAACGTGATGAGCAGCTGATTTACGATATTAGGCGACAGCAGCTACTGCGCACAGTGGCACCAGTCAGCCCAAACATTGCATGCTTAAATACACTTTAAATATCGCTTAATATATTACGATTTTATTTACGTACTAAGTGTTGGATTCAATTTTTACTTCAAAATTCTATTTGTGATATTCTGCTGATTTCGCCCCACTGTGCAACTACGATCACGCGTCAACTGCGACGCTTGTCAGTCAGTCCGAATGATGAATTTCTTTTTTACCACGCGTAATCGTAATGCCTGTCGTACGAAGCTACGAAAAAAGATAGCGGGGCTTGTCGAAATGTTTCGAACGAACGCTAATGAAAGTTTGTGTTTGTTTTTTTTTTCGGTTGTTATTTTTTTCCAATCTTTTCTTGCTTTTTGGCCAATTTTACGTGTTGTTGCTGCTGTTGTTGCATTTGTATGTGTTCTGAATAGCTGAATGGGACACATGGAAATATGCGAAAAATGTTTGTGCAGACAATGCAGAAGCAAAACAAAAGAAACAACAGGTAGACTACGTTTTTGGAATATCGTACAAAAGAGAAAGAGAGAGCGCTCAAGAGAGTTACAGAGCATAAGCGCAGCTTAGCAGCAAAAGAGAGCGTTTATCGTAACTTAACGGCGATGAGAGCGCAAAAGTGAATATCGTAAATATGAGAACAGAACATTTAATTTCTTATTTTTTTTTACTGTTGGCAGCTGGTCAAGCTTTGGAAGTTATTCAGTATTTAAGCTGTCGCACATATATACATATATATTTAAATAATTACTATATATATATATATATACACATATATATATATATATATATATATATATATATATATATATATATATATATATATATATATATATATATATATATATTTATAGCTGTGATTATTCATAAAAACCTGATTTTTGTAAACTTTTCTGACTCTCTCTGATATTAGCAAATGCTTCCTAATGGTCTCTATGACAATTCGCTCTCAACAGCGCCTCGATCATTAGGGGCAATTCTTTTTGCCTCTGAACAAGACATCATCAACCTTGATTGCCTTGGCAGCTAGCTGACCCTTAAATAAAACAACCGACTCGGAAACGGATTATGAGAAACGCTCAATTATGAGCAGAAGTTATGCATGTGCTTATATGTGTACATGTGTGTGTGTTCTTATAAATTGCCATGTTTGGGCGCTCATTCGTGAAACTAATTCATTAGCATTTCAAATTTTAACAAAACTTAAAACAAGCTTCTGCTTGCGTACTCTCTCTCTTGCACTCGCTCTACCTCTCTGCCGCTCAGCTGCTCTTTGTTGTTGTTTTCTTGTTGCAAACAGTATAAAAAGGAAATCTCGAAGTGACGCGCGCGCTTTTAGATCGTTTTTACACCTACACACACCACAAGCGCAGCTCCGTATACGATATATTCACATGTGCATGAGTGTGAGTACAGAATGTTTTTGTGTATTTGTTGCTTTGCTTACATTTTGTTGTCACTGTGCAATATTGTGATATGTAAACGAATTTTTATTGTTGTTATTATTATTTTTGGCCAACAACACTTGGCCTGGCCTTTAACGCTCCAGCAGAGCACGGCTTGACACGCTCTTCCTCTCTCGCGCTCGCTCTCTCCCTCGTTCACTGGCGCTCTCTTTTAATGATCTCATTGTTTGCAGCTCTCAGTCTTATTTACGATATCAATTTTGTTTTATTAGCCAAAAAAGACAGAACTCAAAAAGCAAAAAAACAGTTAAACTTTTCTTAATCTCTCTTTATACATATATAGTTATTGTAGCTTTTTGTTTTATTCTTTGAGATGATTTTTTGTCTTAACACGCGTTTCGGACGTGTTGATATTGGCCTGAAGATTCGCCAACAAAGCAACCAAAAGTAATCAGGAAATATATACTTATATTTGTATGTGTATATTTACATACATACGTATATATACATTTATATAGACTGTCTATGTATTTTTTGTTTTATCATTTTTTGATTAGAGTTTTTTTGCTTTACTTGCGTACGAGTTTATATATAGTATATTTAATAAACTATAAAATTATTAAACAAATGTTTAGGACTTAACAATATATATATATATATATATATATATTATTTATTTCTTATTTTTTTAATATATTTTATTAATTATTTCTTATATATTTAAAGAGTATCTTTAAATATATATTTACATAAAATATATATTTTAAATATTTTTTATTTATATATATTTTTATTTTTTGTTTTATGAATTTATTTATGTTTTCTATATATTTTCTTTAGTTACATATAGTTTTTATTTTTTACTATTTTATGATTTAAAAAAAATACATATTTTTAATTTTTTTTAACAGTATTATCTGCCCAGTTTTTACGGTTTTTCCTATTGTAATTATTTTTTTATGATCGTCTCTTTGGAAAAAAAAAAACAGAAAACACGTTGCAATTGGCAACTGGTTTACAGCTATGCAACAACTCATGCACACAGACACGTACACTGAGACACACACAGCCATGATCTACACACACACATACACATACGGACAGACAGTCAGGCAGCCATAGACAACTGCAGGTGAGTAAATGGCAATATTGACCATAATTTTGTAAGTAAAAATTTTCTCATACATTTCGAACATTTTGCTGAGTTGTTTTTCTTTTACGTTATTTTCCCTCTGTTTGCATTTGTTTAAAAGGAACTCGCGCGCGCGCACAAACAATTTGCTATTAATTTTAATAATGTAATTAAAGATGTTGCAGTTGCTTTTTGTATACCTTTTTACATTTCTATTTTGCCATTTGCTGTGGTTCGCCTATTCGGCTTTACTTTTTTGTTGTTTTTGTGCACTTTTCACACACAAACTCGAAGCAGAAAATGCCATTAATGATATTTGCTGTTGTTGTGTTTGTTGTTGTCTTGAAAATTTTCGTTACGCTTTGGCAGACATTACGAGCCACTCTCCGCACTTTCGCGTCCCGCTCTCCGCTTCTCTCTTTCGCACCGTGGCCAAACAAAACGCGCCAGTTGGCTGTTTTTTCTTCTTTTTTGTTTTTGTTTTGAGACCGAAACGAAATTGGAGCCACAGCAGCAGCAGCGCGCACCCGTCTATCCTCGCTTACACGTAGTTTGCGACTGAAAGCCAACGCTGAAATCGAACACCGGACAACCGTCGCACAGACACACTGAAACTGAAGCTGCTGCTGGCGCTTGGAGTGTGCGCACCCAACTCTCTTAGCTATAAGAGCGCAAGAGCGGCGGCAACTTCGAGCACCATCAGATCGACAGATGATCGTGTCTACCTGCGCTGACCTGCAACCAAGGCGTTTATCGTAAATTCGTTTTGGAAATGAATTATGAAAATAGTGGTGAGTTGTTTACTAAACATTATTGTGGTGAATAATTGAATTAAAATTAATTAAATAAAATTACAAATAAATGTATAATAAATTAAAAAAAAAATTTAAATAAAAACTATATATAAATAAAAATACTTCAAATAATCTTTTCTTTGTTATTACATAAATAATTCCATCTATTTTTACAAATTAGAAAAGCTTCTATTCAGATGTTTTTTAAGCTTTTCGAACATATCCATGTTATCAACGAGTTGCACGAGATTTGCACGATATGGCGATGTATTTCCGGTCTCCTGGAAATTGAATTTGGCGCGCTGCAAGCGCCTTCTGATTTTGGATGCATGGTGCATTTCGTTGGAAGACAGTTCCCAATCATTGGAAAGCATTGCGGAAAGGAGTGCTGCAATGTCCAAGCTCAGTTCGAACTTGGGCCCATGGGCATGGCCTTCAAGTAAAATGGTATGGGAACTATCGCCGGTACGCTTCAGTGTATCCAACTGGAGAGTAGTGCTACCTGTTTGTGTACGCTGTTCGGACTGTCAGTAAGTAATAAATAGATGAGCAACATAACACATTTCAAATCGCATCAAAATTCACCATCAACGTTGGCAGTTCTCCCGACAGGTTAAAATCACATGTTGGCTGTAGGACGATTGGAACGCCGAGACGATTTGGTGAGTATTGATAGCCGTGGTGGGTTTGTTCAAAGCACGGATGCAATTCCAACAATTTCAAACGATTCTTTATTGCCGACGACAATTGGTATAAGTGAACATTTGGCAAAATCAATTTTAGCATAATTTCACAAAGCTCCGCTTTCGAATATTCGTTAAATGATTCGTTGGAGTGATGAAAGTCAGTGTATACGTTAGGATCTTGTATGAACAGCAATCGGGAGGAAATTGTTGCATATTCAATGAGAGCCTTGTGCAACTGCGATAGTGAAGCTTGCACGGGTGTGGACGTGCTGCGAGGTTCAATGGACCTATCAAAATTAAGCGAATAGCTCGTTGAGGCCATCTTAAGATATAATTTGTCGCCGCCGCGTTTACAAAAACGATTAGTTTGTGCCTTTGCTATCGTTAGAGCTGAGCAGAGCTTAAATACACTATATCGATTATATTGTGCATTTGGTATTTTGTCATCGATGAGTCATTGTAAAGTTTTTTATTCGTCTACTACTTTTGGTCACACCGGTGCATTGAAAATGGATGAGGAACTGAAAAAAATAAACAACAATTTAAGCGATGCCTTATCCAAATTGCTTAAGCCCAATGACAAATATACAGGCGGAGTTTTGCAGCAACGCAAAGAGAAAATAGCGAAGCTAATCCGGCTGCATGTGCGACACTTGCAGCACACAGTTATTGTGCATCGCAGACGTCGTCAGCAACGTTCACGACGTCGACTCCAAAATCTGCGCTCTTTCTTCATGCAACAAATGATGCAGCTGCAGTCCAATTATATGCAAATGTTTGTAATGCTACGCATGAAGCACAACCAGTTGCAGAACGAAGAGGAAATGGAGACGGAAATAGAGAACAGCAACTCTGGTGTTGCTTCTGCCAAGCTGGAGACGAACTCCGATGCCCCGACGCTGTTTTGGGAGCACGCAGTACCAAAATACAGTGATGAACAGTTTCTCGACAGTTTCCATGTGACACGCAGCACATTCCAGTCTCTCTGCGGCCAACTGGCACCCACACTGCGCTCAGTGCCAGAGCTAAGATCCCAATTGGAAGTCATTACGCCAGACAAATGTGTGGGTCTTTCGCTCTTCTTCTTGGCCAGCGGGGAGCGCATTTCAATTATTTCGGAGCAATTTGCACTGCCACGCACCCGTACCATCAAATGCCTGAAAGTATTCTGCAATGCCGTGATGACCAGCCTAGGCAAGGCGCTGCGCCTGCTGCCACAAAGCGAGGCGGATTGCGCAAATGTTGTGGCTGGCTTTAAGAGAGAATGCAACATGCCTGCAGCTCTGCTTGGCGTGCTGGGCGTCTGCTCCATTCCGCTGCGTGGCAAAGGAAAACAGACTGAGCTGAGCTCTGCATTACGCATGGAGTTTCTTCTGGATGATCGCATGCTTTTCCGTGAGCTGCGCCTGGGTAACGGCAATGGTAACAAGGCGCCTCTGCCGCCCATGTTTGCCGAGGCACCGAATTCTCTGACTCAGTTGCCAGCATATCGCATCAATCAGCGCTCAGTGCCTGCGTTTGTGCTGGCGCCCGCAAATCAAAACTATCCGCTGCGCCCCTGGCTGCTGCAGCGCTATACCGAGCCGGTGGCACCACACGAATACGACTTTAACGAAGTGGCTGATCATCTCCAGGAGCTAAGCGACTGCGCCATGCATCGCCTTATATCCCGCTGGCGCTTCCTTAGTCAACCGCTGGATATCAGTTTTCAGACCGCCTCCTGCATAATCACAGCTGCAACCGTCTTACACAATCTGCTCGAAGAGCTGAGCGAGCCACATATTCTCGAATGGGGCAACACGGTAAATGTATCGAAATTCAAATCACCGCCAATCGAGTCGAAAATGGATAATTCTGAGCAAGTGGAGCTTGCCCTCGACGTGCGGGACTTCCTGGCCAGGACAATCAGTTCCACAGAAATGTAAATTAAGACTAATTTAATTTTAAATATATACCAACGCTTTAAGCTTGGGCTTACTATACATGGTCGACCTATTCCCTTTCACGGATGTTGGATGTGTACAAAAATAAGCAAAGCCTTTGCTTACATTTATATCAAATGTAGATTTTATTTGTTGAAAGATACTTAGTTTGCAGCAGTATACAAATTAATTTAGTATAGACGCTGGGGTGGGCCCATTGAGGACTTGATGTGCAGGGAGCGCACGTTCTGCCAATTCTTCTTGAGCAGCGAGACCAAGAAATTGATCGACAAGCTAATATTCTGGGTGAGCTCATCCTGCTTCATGCCAACGTGTCCAACGGCAACGGACAGACACAGCACCTTCTTCATCTGGAACTTGATGGTGGACTTGACCTCTTCGATCTTGGCCATCATCGATTCTTGATGCGACAACAGAGCAGGGAACTTGCCTGCCTTGTTCAGACCGGGACCCAGGAGACGGGGAATCTGCTTGATAAGCGACTCAGAGGCGAGGAAAGCGTCATAGGACTTGGCTAGTTTCTTCACCAGCTTCTTGTTCTTGTTCAGCTTCTTGAGTGCCTCAGCATCCATGAACTCAACGCCATTGGCCTTGGCTTCATCGCAATGCTGCTGATCGCCCAGAATGCACACCTTCATCTTGGGACGTGGGATGTGCTTCAACCTGCAAGATGAGTAAAGAGGAACGATTAGGAAAAGTATTTTTGATTTGGAAAAATTAAGGGAAATTATTGCACAGTTCAAATTCAAAAAAACTTACGCAGCTCGCAGAGGAGCAGTTTGTTATTTATCTACTAAATTTGGATCAGCAACCATTGCTGGTGCTTACTCAATTTGATTTTAAGACCCTGAGTGCAGGTCCGCCGCAATGTATGTGGGAGACAACACACACGCGACTACCTAACGCTGTTGCCACTTGAATTTGGTGAGCAGCGCAGGTAATTTTAGCCAACGTACTTAACAGTGCCGGAGAAACGCTTGTCCTTTTGGGGATCGTAGTTCTTCAGGCCAATTTGGAGTTCCACCGTCTCCAAGAAGCCGCGCTTCTTCTTGAGCGAATGCTCAAGAATTCCATTAACTCCCTCAAGGAGTGTGTCACGAGACACCTTTGTTCTGCAATTGAAAATTTAGTTGGATCAGCAATTGAATATTTTGTATATTATCTATTGTATATTGTTATGTGGAAATAATGTTTAAGCATTGCGCAAATGCTTGCAACTTTAATGTGTAGTCACGTATTTGGCACAAAATTTAATTTTATTATTGCAATCATTTCCAAACTGATGTGGTCATTGATTTGTCCAAAAAGCTGGTTTCTGATTGCAGCATTCAATAAATATGTTGCAGAACTCATAAAACAGCATATGATTTACCAATATACTGTTTTATTTTCATTATAATATTCAAGATGCAATTTATTTTTTAAGATTTTTCGGATTAAATTACTTACGCCATGTCTACACTTTGCAACGTGCGATTCACGAAAGAAAGATAACGCTTTCGACAAGTATAGTTTTCAGTATCGATTACTTTTTGGCCAGAGTTGCCATGAATTAATCGCTATTGTTACTCATATGCTTATTGTTAACATATGTAGCCCACATAAAACACAGTGGCAACGCTTCAGTTTTGCATTTGTATTTATAATCCATAAACAAGTTCTTTACCAAGTTCAGCTGTTTCTCTAAATTTTGAATAGTCTTGAAGCTTAGAAAGTTTTTATGCGCACGTTATTTAACTGAAACGGCAGACGACGCAGTTATAAACGAATCAAATACATATATATATTAATTTCAAAGTGAAATTTACAGTGGATGCTGGCAAAACCAAGAGCTTACAACGAGCAATCAAAGAGTGTGGTACGTTGACTCGAGCGAACGATTAAGAGAGCGAACGTTTCGTGGTCAAACAAAACAATTGCTTTCACTATCTGCGCGCTCATATTTGCGGTGGGCCTGCGTTGCGTTTTAAAATAAAACTTCTGTCCGTGTGCGCCAGCAGTGCGTAATGTTCCATCGCTGCAATAAACGAATTATATAATATTTATCCATAGAGTGCATTCATTGATTTTCCAACTGCTGGAAAAACCCGGCAATTCCCTAGTTCCAGCAGCAGCTCCAGTCGTTGGATATGGCGCGTCTAATTGAGACCAATGTAAGTTACGAAACATGTTGCAGCACAACTTTTGCATAATTTTTAGTACCCTCGATTCGATATACTCTCATTCTTCTCATCACGTACGCACATCACATATAGCTAGGCTGTGTCATAATTCTTAAAAATATACATTAATATGTATGTATGTACAAATGTGTATGTTTTTGCCATTTGGCATCTCCCACCAAAAAATGCAAAAGAATATGCGGATATTCTACAAAGGTATTTATAACAACAATCATAGAGCCTTTGGCTGTCGCTGTTGGTGAACACATTCTCAAATGACGTCATGCTATTAATATTGTTATTTATACGACGTATTTAACAGCTAGAAGGAATTTCCATAAGTCGAGGGGATATTAAACCTTGTCGCTGCACTCAATTACTTTAAGCATCTCTCCGCTTGGAAAGAGACATTTGAGCTTAATTTGTTTGTAATTTTTCAAAGAGTTGCGCAATATTTCCCTTACTGTGACTGTGACGGTGACTGAATAATCATGAGCCATATGGCTCATCTCTAGTTTTTTCAAATTACAAGTGTTAAAATTTATGTAATGTAATGTAATTTATGTTTGCTTTACACTACGTCACGGTCGGCATATCCATAGACAAATCAGCTGTTCAACTAGCAAAATTGCTCTTTGCACAACAGCTCTCTCTTTTAAAAAGCCGCTCACTTTAATTATAACTTGCTTTCGCTGTCTCTCACTCTCACATATAATTTCATATCATCGTTACGAATGCTTGACAAGAGTACTATCTACAGTAAACAACATATGTATTTGCTTAATGCTCAAATTACACATTTAAATTTGTGTCATACAACTTAAACTTGCATTTAAGATCATTAACAGAGACAGAAACAGACTATGGCAGACTATATTTAACTTGACCGTTTACTTTTCGAATGTACTGTTTGCATACGCGTGCTGACTCGGCGCTTCGGCCTCGCGTTGACTCCCCGCTTCGACTTCATTTCAATTGTAAATTGTGCGCGGCGGCAAGCGGTTGATCAAACGCTTTGCTATTTCTAATAGTTGGTCAAGTTGAACATTTGAATAATTTCAATTGCTAATACGCAATAAACAAGAAACATTCATCAAGTGTGTGAAAAATGACAGATTTTGATGTAAGTCTATATTGAATAAGATTTAAGTGAATATGAGCGCAACTGCTGCCACGCATTGGAATATGCCGCTCTCTCCCTCTCATTTTCTCTCTTGTCTGGTTCCACGCTTGTGGGCCAAAATGTGCTCTCTGTTTATCTGTGCGTGGGCAGTGACGTCATCGATAATTATTTATCACCCGCAGCCTAGTTAGTGCTCTGTGCATTATGGCGAAACAGTACCCAAAATGGACTACGTTTTCAAGGTCACTGCCAAGACGTTTTCGGTGTCAGTTGATTGCTTGCAAAACAAAATAACCTCAATTACGGTGAGCTTTTAAGAGACACCAACTCTTAGGTGGCTTCATAGAGATGGCAAAAAACTTACCACAAAGAGATCACGGAGTCAAATTTCACTTTGACCCGAAATTGGGGAAAATATTTTTAGATATTATTTTCAAGCATATGAAATTGTTATTGGTGAACCTAGCTCTAGATGGGGACCTATTGAGTGTAGACTTTAATCAGCAAAGGCATCTGTCGGGCAAAAAAAAAAATGAGCGGAAAAACACGTATCGCCACGAAATATGCCTGACAATAGTATATATATGTAGGTCTATTTAGAAGAAACTTAAGGCGTATGAAATCGAACTTTTCAAGTTTTCTCTGTTTAACGTTTTGTATTGTTTTATATTTACAGTTTGTTCCAATTGCCGTGGGCGTTGTGGCTATCGTTGCCGGCGCCTTGATAGTCCACTATTTTATCAATAAGAAGTCGACGAAGCCCCGTCGCGAACCCAATCGAACCGCACGATTGCGCACTTTAGTCGATCCCAATGATAAGTATCAGCTGCCCCTAATCGAAAAGGAGGTGCTCAGCGCTGATACGAGACGTTTTCGCTTTGGACTGCCCTCCAAGCAGCATATACTTGGTCTGCCTGTGGGCCAGCATATTCATCTGATTGCAACGATTGACAATGAGCTCGTCATACGGCCGTATACGCCTATCTCGTCCGATGACGATGTGGGCTATGTTGACTTGATTGTAAAGGTGTATTTCAAGGATACGCATCCCAAATTCCCAGCGGGTGGCAAAATGACGCAGCATTTGGAAGAGATGGAGCTGGGCGATAAGATTTCGTTCCGTGGACCCTCTGGACGATTGCAATATCTGGGCAACGGTACCTTCTCCATTAAGAAACTGCGCAAAGATCCGCCCAAGCATGTGACGGCCAAGTGCGTCAACATGATTGCAGGAGGCAGTGGCATTACGCCCATGTTGCAACTCGTACGTGAAGTACTCAAGCGCAGCGACAAGGATAAGACGCAGCTTGCGCTGCTCTTTGCCAACCAGGTGAGCTTGTTCATATACTTCAAATTCCCTAGAAACTAACTATCTAACTTTAATATTGCAGAGTGAAAAAGACATATTGCTGCGTGACGAGCTTGATGAATTGGCCAAGAAGCATCCCGATCAGTTCAAGGTCTGGTACACTGTGGACAAAGCAGCCGAAGGTGAGCTGCGGCTTCAAATATTGTGCAACACATTAAACTGTCATCGAATCAACATCATATCCATGCTGGGGCTTAGCTTAAGATACATAGTCAGAGACTACAGATTAATTTATGAGAGCACGAAGAAGTTGTGCGAGAGAAATCTAATTGATTTAAATTGTGGAATAAGAAACATTAATTCAAGCCAAGTTAGATTTACAGATTGAGAAAGAGCTTTCAAACTTATGTTAAATCAGATTTATATTCAGGTTGTCGAGTATAATCTTCTTTGTTTGTATTTGCATGCACATCACAATTCGAGCTCATTCACATAAATCATTCAGTTTGAATCAGTGTAGTGCAATCTCTGTAGTTCCTAATGCTCTAAAAGCCATCTATTATGTTGAGAATCTTGTGTTTGCTCCTCGCCACATGCTGCCCATAAACGGATGCCCCGCCCGGCGAACGCACGCTTCATAGCCTGGTTGTACAATACAGGCCATGTCAACGACGAGATGATGGGCGAGCATCTGCATCCGCCCGGCCCGGAGACATTGTGCCTGCTGTGCGGTCCACCGCCCATGGTCAACTATACCTGTATACCGGGCCTTGAAAGGCTGGGACACCGTTCCGAGCAACGTTTTAGCTATTAAGTAACGAATCTTTCAGCCTAGCATCTGTATATTTTAAACGCGAGCTTTTCAGTTCAAATCACAAGGCAAGGGAAATGTTGTGTGTGTCTGTGTAGGTTTTTCTGGTCGAACTAAGACTTTTATTGAGTTCTCTAGTTAATTCCCGATTCTCATTTCTTTCTCTTATCCTAGGCTGGACCTATAGTGTTGGCTTTATCAATGATGAGATGGTTGAAGCTCACCTGCTGCCCGCCAATGACGACACGATCGTACTGCTCTGCGGCCCGCCGCCCATGATTAACTTTGCCTGCAATCCAGCATTAGACAAGCTTGGCTATCATCCGGACACACGATTTGCATATTAGCGATGATCAACGATATGTCTGCCATATAACTGCTCCACTTAAAGGAACTCACATTCGCATTTTTTTGTTGTCAGTTTCTCTTACGCTCAAGAGTTGCATTTGGGACAATAATTATATGAATATATCGAGAATCGAGCAAGAATTAAATTATATTAAATACTTCATATCGAGGTGGGTGTCCGGCGGCTCCATTGGCAATTGGAACAAATCGAGCAAATGCTAAATCTCTTAGCAATTTACTTTTGTTTTTTTAATTTTTTCAATAAACACTTGTTATAAATGAGAACATGGAATTCGCTTAAGTTTTTCATTTGTTTCAATTAAATATGCGCATCAAATGAATTTTAAATTCATTTGCAATTAGTTGAGTGATTTGTTAAGCAATTGGATTTGAAATCAAAGGTGACGAATGTTGACATGAATATTTAATTTAAATACATCCCAAAATTCTATATTCTATGCCACAAATACTACAGATTGTTAATAAGTCCGAAATAAAACCATATATTATTAATGGACGTGCCTCTTGGTCTATCATTAACTTTTATTGATGCCTTGTAAAATTCGAAATACAAGTTTTCTTTTGTTTTATATACGATAAAAAGTATTTGTTCGTCAATGTTGGGCAAATAACTAAACATACATTTTTTTCTTTTGTGCTTCATTTATAATTTAAAAGAATAGAGTTGAACTAAGTAGTGTAGTAAGCGTCATTATATGTGTAAAATGTTTATAGATATATATATGTATAAGCTAGTAAATTGAATACATTTCTAGGGTTGGTTGGGTAAAACTTTTAAATGATATTTGAAGTAAAATTTATGTATTTTTCTTTATATTTGCTTCGGGTTCACAGAACATTTATAGCCTATTTAGTTAGCATATGTGTAGCATAAATATTTTATGTTATTTTTTGTTTTAGTTTTCGGGCCGATTTGTTTGATTGACATATTGTAAACATACATATCTGGTTATATATAAATACGTAAGAAATAAAAAATACGACATTGAACAAATAATGAACTCAATAACTTAAAAATTGTATAAGTAGCCTAAGGATTGTCTTTACGCTTCATCTTTCTTTTTTACCTCGGTTCATCTTGTGGTGCTCTCTCTCTCTCTCACTTTCTCTGTCTCAAACAATCCATATATGTTTGTGATTTGCTACAGCGCACGCTTTGAACGTGGATCGCACTAGCTCATCTTCCTTATGGTTGTAGCTCCGCTTTCTTATATATGGCCTCTTAGCATATACAAATGTCCAGTAGCTTGCCAGTGTACGATGGATGTTTAATTGGAGTTATGTGGCTATTGCTGCTATTGTTGGCAGTGCTCGTATTATGCCGCGTACGCCCAAGTCAGCGGTCAGCTGGCACAAAAACCTTAATGCATCGTACTTACACTTACAACGAATAAAACTACTACTAGAGGGAGGGGATACATTGAAAACTCTAAACTACAATACAATTTGATCATGGCTTGATGCTGGATGTAAAAAACACTTAAAACTTATAAAACAAATTGACTTTAGATTTCATATCGTTGTCCGGCTGCTGCTCCTCTGCCTGGCATTTGCTGGCCGCCTTATAATCCTGTACAATTTTTTCCATTTCCGATTGGCTCAGTTCTATTGGCTGAATACTAGCCACCTTCTTGTACCTGTAAGAAAAAGAATTCTATTAATTATTTGTTCTAAGCAGCATATTTGATGGCTGAACTTACTTGTCCCTATTGTACTTTTCCCGTATGGCCTGCGTGCTTAGCTCTCTGGCCGCCTTGTGAGTCTTGCACAGCGGCACAATCACATGCTTCAATTGGTCCAATGAGTATGTGGTTATCTCCTCCAGTTGAGCCGTCCACATCGGCAATCCTAGAATGTGACGTGCAAATGCCAGCGAAGCGGCCGAAATGAGTGAGGGCAAATATTGCATATACGATTCTCCCTCCAGAAGCGACAGCTCACAAATGTACTAAAAAAGGAAAAGTTAAAGAAATGCTAAATTAATTGATCATCTACCGGTCGAACGTTCGATCACCTACCAAAGTCATGTACTTTAGCTTCTCGGGCATATCGCAGAGCACGGCATATGTGTTGATAAAGACGTATGGCGTGGGCGTGCACAAGTTGAAGGATAGAATCTTAAGAAACACATTCTCCATGCGTAACACTTGAGCCTTAGTGTAACTGTCGTCAGTGAGAAAGACAAACTCGCCAACATCTGGTGGATAGATCTCTTCATATTTGCTGTAAAGAGAGGCATTTCATATGCATAAACAGCATAAATGAGGTTTAAATCATTCACTCACGATGCAATGTACATGGCTGCAGTGCCCACCAATTGAAGCTTGGCACGCTTCACCGACATCTGGCTGAGGAAGCGATCCAAGTATGAGACAGACAAGTACAATGTCTCAGTGTCCAGTTTGTATTCCTCGGCTACCTCAACCAGCCAATCAACCAGAATGGTGCGCATCGAGTGGTTGATGTCAGTCTGGCGACGCATATATTGAGGCTTCGGGCGATGTTTTTTCTGCAAGAGAATATCAATATCAAAATGATGAAAATCCCACAGAAAGGCACTGCAATATGATGAACAGCATGTTTAGAAGTAATTATAACCCATGTAGTATATATCTTGCTGAGATGCTGTTATATTCAAAATTGTTTTATTAATTTACACATTTGATTATATATTGATCTTAAAACTTCGTTGAATTCTTTGTTTTATGTTCTCCCCCCTTTGGACTGTGTAAACAAATAGTTTTCGAATTTGCCAGTTTATGCTTCATCATTACGATCTGGGAAACTAAACCCGTTTGGCTTCATATCTCCCCCTCTTTTTCCCACATTAGCAAGCTATCGAATTTACCAATTTTTATTTGTATATTGGTTATTTAGCGCTACGTGAGCCACATTTCAATCGAAGAGCTAACAAGCCACTCCCAGCATACAGATTTTCGGCCAAAAGACGGCAATACGAACACGATGTACATTAGGTGTTTACTTAATGGGCCATTTAACGACTATGGGACACGCCAAGCGCCAAAGCAGGAAATTGGTGAAATTGTGAATGCAGAAAATATGCTTAAGATGTTCAAATACAGTGGAATAAGAAATGTTGCTTTAAGACTTATGCGAATTTAGATAAAGTATGTTTAAGGATTTTTAAAAATTATTTAAATATAAAGAGTTATAACATATACCATCGATCCGCTAGTATATATTTATTCAGAAATCAGTTATATGGAAACCAAGTTCTTTTTGTTGGGGTTGTTTGTAACTGATGGAGAATTTGTTTGTTTTATAGTCTAACAAACGACCCGGCAACCGGGCAAACAAACTCAACGCAAAGCTTAAAATCCGGTTCGAGCATCAGAAACTGAAATACTTTTACACTGAAACGGAATACGCATATGTGAATATATATATTTTTACAGCTAGTCAAGTTATAAAAACAAGGACAAGATGACTCTGAAAATGCCACTGTGTACCAAGGAGGACCTCAGTGAGGCGGTGAGGCTGCGGAAGCGTGCGCAGTACGAGGAAGAGCGTAAGGGTCGCATCTTTAATGCCAGGCAACGGTTATTTGGAGTAAGTACAAATTATCGCCAAGAGAGTCTCTATTCGTTGTTACATTTCTATTAGCTCGATCTGGATACATTGGAGCGTCAGATTTTGGAGAAAAAGAAACAAAACAATGAACAGCGGGAATGCGACAAGCGCTATGAAGAGCAGGAACAACTTCAGAAGCGCCTAATAACAGCCAAGGAAAAGGAGCTGGAGAAGGAAAAACGCATTGCGGACTCCGATCTAAACTATTATCGCTGCCGTTATCAGCGTTTGGATCAGCGTCGCGAATTTGATCTTAATGATCCAAACTTTCTCAAGAAAGCAAAGCCGGCTCGCATAGCCGACGATGACATAATGCTTGGCGTCTCCAGTGCACAGATCTTTATTGGCGAGGATCTGCATAGGGGTGATCGACAGGTGAGACAGCGTGAGCAACAGCGCGCCTGGCTGGATCAGCAGGTCATGGAGCGTAAGCAGGCAGAGGACGCACGTCGCAAGGCCGACAATGTGTATATGGAGAGTGTGCAGTGCCGCGATAAGCATCTCGAGGAAATGGCCAAGTCGGATCATAACATGCGCCATCAAATCATACACAAGATACGTCAGTACAACATCAATCTGGCCAAGCAGAAGGAGGTGAATCGCCAGCGTTCCAAGCGTGAGACATACGAGGACGATATGGCAGAGATTTACAATATGCTGTCTAGCGATATGTTGACCGAGAATCCGGACGTTGCTCAATCACGTCTTAATCCAAACAAAAAGATTGCATTCATGTATCGGGGCATGACTCCCGACGAACTGGTGGAGTTCCGCAAGGGGCAGGAGCAGCAGTTGGCCGATACGCTTCAGCGCAAGACCGAGGTTCAGCTGATGAACAAACAGTGGGAACAATATGCCATAAACATGGATCGCACACTCAAGCTCAAGCAGATTGAAATGGATCGCAAACACAAGCAGCAACTGGACGATCTAGTACGCACCAACGCCAAACTGGCTGTCGAGCAGGACAAACAACGCAAGGATGCACTAGCACAGCTTAGCAATGCCGTCACCGATGAGTTCTATGATCAGTTCAACAAGACCTCACGTTAGTTGGTCTGAGCTCGTTATGGAATGGTTCCAGCAGCAGAGCCTGTTTTGTTGCAGCACTTTCAAGCTCTGCTGCTGGAACTATTCCAGGCCCGAGTTCAGCTGCTAACGGTTGAATAATGCTTAAATTTAATTAATGAAAAGTTAATAAAGATTAAATTAAAAGTTGAGTGTTTTGTTTGGCAATAATTGATAAAAAGTATGCATTTGGTGCTGAAATAGGAAGTTGAGCAGTCAATGTAACATTCCAGCTGGAAAATGGAACTTAAACCAAGCAATCTAAAGCGGAACTTTCCAGGCTGATAAAAGTTAGGGATGGTAAACAAGGCACGTGAGCGCACTTAAAAGGAACGTCGCTGATGTAGAACCCCGTTTGCTTGCAGTAATCAACAACTGGCGAAGCAGGCAAACGAAGAAAAGAAAAGCAACGACGCGCGAAGACAACGTTGTCACGAGGGTGCAGCAGGCTGCTAGAATGTACAAATTTGTATGTGTATGTATGCATATATGTGTGTGTTTGTGTGCATGCTAGCTGTCCATATGCACAAGTAGGTATATATTGTTAGTACACCGAGATTGGGCGCTAAGTGAAAAGCAACTTAACTAACGTGTGGGCCAATGGAAACACTACTCTACGGGGTATCAGAATCAGAGACACCTTAATATAAATATAAGCCATTCTCTCGCATTAAATATTTCTAATTACAGTTACAGAGTTTTGTACTTACTTCGCTCTCGCGGAAATTTTCCAATATATCGTGTTGATATTGGACCACCTCATAGAAGCGCTGACGATCGTTGCGCGGCAAAACAATATTTTCCATGAGTGATATATTTGCATCACTTTTGAGATCAGCCATGTCCTCGACCTGGCTGTTGTCAGTTATCTCGGCGCTAATGATGCTAGTTTCTGCCATGGAACGGTCCACGGACATGGGCGATTGCACATCGGTGACGGACATGGGAGTTCCATCCAAATTGTAGGCATGATCTATGGCGAACTCCTTGCGCACTTGATCGCTAAAGATACGAGGATTGCATTTATACACTTTTGAACGATCCAATTCGGTATCCACTTACAGATTTTGATCGACACCCTTTATATTCTCTTTGTCGGCTACGTTGGAAAGTACCTTGCTCCCGATTTGCAACTGCACCTGAGTATGGTTGTTGTCCTCGTAGACGGAGAATGTCTTGAATTGCTCCACCACGGGCACAACGTTTGATTTCTTGGTGGCGCCAAAACAGGCATTTTCATCTACTTTTACCTTGGCAACTTCGCGAAAACCCTGCGAACAAAAGTGGAGTACATACAGAAACAAATGTAAGAGTAACGCAATTACAACATGGTGTCGGTGTGTAAATGTGTTAGAAAGGGGAAGCCTCATAAGGTTAGTTGCTATCTCGCTTTAGTATTCTTTCCTGTGCTCTGGGAAAAATCCTGTTAAATGCGCTGCTGCACGCAGTCGTCGTTCGCTTTAGTTGTTTTTGTTTTGTGTGCGCGCCCTTTGCTGGCTTCCCTGCATACATTTCTCTCTCTCTCTCTCTCTGTCTTACTCTCTCTTCCTTTTAAGCATGCAGTGTGCTTCTATATGTGACTGTGTGCGCCTAGGTGCTGTAATTGTATTTCAATGTATGTATTCTTTGTTTGCTGTTTGCTTTAATAGCCTTCTTTTTGTATAGTCGCCTTAGTCTGATGTCATACGAAAAAAAAGCGCGCAAGATTCGCACATCGTCTATGCATTTCTAGGTTAGTTTTGACGATTAGGCGCGCCATCATAGCCTGGAAAACAAAAACCTTAACCTGCGCATACGCATGTGCATATACTTAACATCATCTGCTAAAATTTATAGAATTTTAAATTAAACTTTTATTATTCAATGCGTGTGAGAGAGGAAAGAGATATTCAAAAGAGTAATCAGGAAACAGGCATAGACAGACAGACAGGAAAACCCACCACCATTCTGTCTAGTGATCGCACTTCCACCACCAGCAAAGCTGAACAAGGGGCAGCTGCGTTAGAATACCCAACATATAACAAAATTAGGATATGAATTCTGATGGAACCTTACCATTTTAGCGGACGGCACGGGGTTGCCGCGTTGCACATTGCCATGGTTATTGTTGGTATTCAGCACAACTAAATTGGCGCGAGGTGCCAGAGCCTTCTCCTTGCCACCAATTACAGCGAGCGGTTGCTTGCCACCAGCTCCATGAAGAAGCGATGACTTTTCTTTTAGACTCGGCATGCCGGGATTCTCCTTTTCAGTATTGTCACGATGTATTTGAAAACTGGCCATTTTAAGATATTATGTTTACAGTTATTTCCACACAAAAATAATTGAAATGCCTCTATTTGTATCCAAAGGCGCGGACTACTTGCATGCGCCTTGCTCTCTTCTTCGTCACTAAAAAATGGTGGCTTTATCTGCGCTTCTCTTTATTTTACGTACGCAAGTAAAAGTGTGTGCGTGAGAATGTATGTAATATCGTCTCTTTAGCTCAGCTGCTGCGTCGGCGGCTTCGAATCGCTGTCGCCGTTTGTTGAGTCGCTTGCGTTTCGGTTTTTACTCACACTAGCATAAACGCATATGTATGCGTTGTTACGAATGCTCAAAGTCGAACACATTTACACACAAGCAAAATTTATCATCAAAATTTGAAGCACAAATTACATTCAACATTCACGACGCATACGATATTATAATACAGTTGCCTTTAAATTTTTACAACATTGTTGCGTATTTGCAGATCTTGAATTTTATTTACATACAAAACTCAGCCCGTGCTTAAATCAATCTTGCCTTCTTACGCTTGCAGTCTTTTTTCTTTAGATCCGTCACCGTGTGCGAGTCCCGAAATTATGCTTGACGCACGACCAAAGAGCAAATGGTATTTGATTTTTTCCCGGTCAAACATGAACGAGCTAGTCCATTCGTTGTTATTTTCGATAGTTAACAAAAGGTATCGATTAATACATCTAAGCGATATATTTTCTGTAAAATTTGAACATGGTATTGAGTATTTTGGAAGTATTATGAATAATAATTTATTGGCAAATTTGCATTAGTTTGGCTTAAAGCTAATTTATAATGTAAATGTGGCTACTCATCGTTAATTTAATGTGGAAGTATCGATATATAGCTTTTACATGCTAATATTGATTCTGTTAAAGCACTGTTATGGCACAACTGATAGCGCATTGCGGCGAGTGTTGCCAGATCAGTTGAAAAAACATTGACAGTAGTCGTTTGAAAGCCTCAGACTTCAATTTTAGGCATCAGTTTTTAGGAAGACTTTTGTAGATAGAATATTTGAATAAATTATAAAAACTCCATGTAGTATTATATTAAAGAGTAGTGTCAGATGTTGCCGATTATACATATCCTATATATAATACATTCCTTAATAATTTACTTAATTAGACGACAAATATCTGTCGTATTCTTCCAACAATGCATTTTCCTTTTGTATGAATAATGGCACCAAAAATCTTTAGTCTTGCGCAACTATATATTGTTTTGCGAATAGAAATGGGAACGACCTTAAATCAGGTAGCAAAATGGGATCAACTTCTGGTCATACACGCACACACACAAATTAGATTTGAAGCGCAAACAGTAAAAGTAGTGTAGACAGACGTCCAGCCGTCTATGGACTCCCGGCTGTGCATAAGAAAAACATCTGCCACCCTCTTTGATTTGTTGCGGGCGCTAAAAATGTAAGGTTTAAAGTTGTATGATGAATAGAGAAAGGTACATATGGGACAGATGGACGAAAACTCCCATCTTTAATCTTTATCCATAACAAATTTCATCTATAGCTGAAAAATGAAAGTAAATTGCAAGTTCTTTAAAAGTTTTGTTTATTTACACCGAAAACTATTGCCAAGTGATAATAAAAGTGCGAATTTGCATGGGATTCAGAGTGACACTGAATTTGGAGGCATCGCTAGCCTCAGTGGCCAGCAATGGTTCATATGTGGCGGAGATATACTCCACTGCATTAGGCTTAGAGCCATCGTGCTGAAATTTGAATCTCTTCATATCAGCCAAATCCATATTACCATCCAAGGTAGTTTCGCGTATATCCTTTCCATTTAACGCATCGAAAATATGACGAATATTGAAGCTGACTGTGTGCCCCTCATTGTGATCCATGAAGTTCTCCACACGCACGAGGAATTCTGTCGTGGAATAGGGTTCCAGGGTTAGAAGATTGACCGATTGGGGGAAGTCACTAAAGTCGGGTATGCTCAGAGGCTTCACAACACTGGCTGTGTTTGAGCTACTGAAGAACTTCCAGTAGGGCAAATGGATTTCCTGTTGAGCCAAGCGTTCGGCCACACTGGGTTTATTCTCAGCTTCATTGAGGATGAGGTAAACTTTGCCGCGGGCAATCAAGCCAGTTCCGTATTGTGTCTCATTCAGTGCTTCGCCCACGCCGAAGGCATCGTCCCTCAGTAGTCGCCGGTGAAGCATCAACTCCAGCTGCCCATCCGCCAAGCTGGAGCCGCCTTGAGCACGATCATTGAGCAGTGCGAGACGCTTGTGCTCATCCTCCAACGAAATGCGAGCTGTTACTGGATAGTAATTTCCACTAACCGACTCGGACATATCTGGAGTGAAGTATTCTCGCTTATTTCGCTCTCTCTTAATCATCTCACGTCCATTGGAATCGGTGTAGAAGACCCCATTGGAGGCGATTCCACTCTTGAAGCGTGTCACAATCTCTTTGCCATTATTATCCTCAATTGGAATGGGTCCAACTAGCCATTCGAATTCCACACGATTTACGCCCTCGTAGATGCGAATCACTTGAGAGATCCACTCGTTCACCTGCTGATGCACCTCCTTCACCTGAACACCATCGTATACGGTGTACTCAATCTTGTCGGAGAGGACAGTAATGTCGCCATCGGGTCTGAATATATAGGCACCAGACGAACGCTTTTCGGAGGCGCTGTTGTCCCCTAACGCACCTTTATATATCGCAAAGTTCTGTTCTATATTTTCCGAGACTCCATTCATTTCGACTGTTTTCAGATGTCCTGTGCTCTTGACGAAAATCAGCTTAATTTGCTGTAATTCAGAGATATTCAAATTATTCAAATATGGTAAGGATCTTACATTATGAATGTCTGTATATGATTAGTATAACTAGTCGAATTTATTTGGTCACATGACAAATATTAACTTCTATTTGCATAGATGAAGGATATATTGAGTCTCTTTCTTTCACATCCAATCTACATCTTCACACTTTTCCCTTTTACTCAATCTCACAGTTTTTTTGATTCTCCATTTCTCTTTTCCTCTCATTCTTCCTTAACTCGCTCACTTAATTGCCGTCGCATTTCTAACACTCACTTTGCCTCTCTTCATTCTTGCACACTCTCATTCTCATTTTTACTATTTCTCCGGGTTTCTCTCCGGCCTAGGCTTTGCCTCTCGCAATCACTCACTCTCACTCTGTCTCCCACTCTTATTTCCTCTTCCCTTTCACTTTCATTCGCTCGCTCGCTCGCTCGCTCTCTCTCTCTCTCTCTCTCTATCTATCTCTCTCTCTCTCTTTCTCTCTCTCTCTATCTATCTCTCCCTCTCTCTGTGTCTCTCTCTCTCTCTCTCTTTCTCTCTCTCTCTCTCTCTTTCTCTCTCTCTCTCCTCTCTCTCTCTCTTTCTCTCTCTCTCTCTCTCTCTCTCTCTCTCTCTGTCTCTCTCTCTCTCTTTCTCTCTCTCTTACTCTCCACACTCCTTTTCCCATTCACATTCCTGCATTTTCTTCCTCCTTACATCTCTTTCCTTTTCTATATCTTCTGTATCGCTCTATCTTGATCTTTCGCCCCATCTCGGTTTTCAGTCACTCTCTCCCTTTTCTTTCTCTGCACTCCTTCATACACACCTTTTGCCTGTCTCCCTTCATTCTTTCTCTCTCCCCCACTCAATCCTCCTCTCCCTCTCCCCCACTACATCCCTTCTTCCTCTATCACTTACCGAATTCTGAACCACTAGCTCATCCGCTTCATCCTTGGGCTCAATCTTACTCTTTTGCTGCTGCATGGAGTGCACCGTTTGGAAACGTCGCAGAGTCTTCGGAGTAGGCAGCACGCGTATGTAGTAGCTTGCAAGCTTATCCACGGATGCCTTGAACACCAGTTCATGCTGGGTGTCGTTCGAGCGATGCTGTATGGCAAGGACTTGCCAGGGCACGGGCACTAGCTCCGATGGCACAGCGTGACCTATTTAAGGGCGTGAATAGCAGAAGCAACTTAAGTAATGGAAACCTTAGCCTTACCCTTCTCATCTGTGACCAGGTATTCCTCCTGCTTAGCCGGCACGCGCACAAACTGGGTCGAGGGATGAGCGAGTGGATTGAACAGAGTCACAACGACGTTGTTGGCACTATCTTTGGTAAAGGCACACACGCTGATGTTTAGCTCCAAGCAGCTATCAAACTGGCCCGAGGTCAGATTCGTGAGCACTCTAAGTGCATCCCGAGCGTTATCCTGGGCATCCACCATGGCATCGGTGAGCAGACGATCATAGTCACGGGCAACTGCCTGTTTCTCGGTGCCTGTGATGGCATCGTGATGCTGCATTATGCCCATCACCTGACGCAATGCATCCAAATCCTCCGTTTGCTCTTGGCTGATCAGCTTGGCGAAGGCGCTCAGCTGCTTGACCGTCTGCAGCAAATGATTGCCATCCCGCTCGAAACGCTTCTGAGTGGGACGCGAGGTAAAGTAGCCCGTCCAATAGGAATGCGCATCACTCGAGTAGGGAAAGAAATCCAGCTTCTTCACTGGCCACGTCAGCTGCATTTGGTGCAGCTCATTCAGATAGCACGAAGGCGTCGAATAGAAAACATTCACCTTGGACCCCTCCACTTGACGCGCATTCACGTATCTGTGAAACAGGCAATCGATATTATTTTATGATGTTCCGTTATCGAAATTTGGTATTTCCTACTTGATAAGCTTGTCCATGTTCTTGAAATTGATTTCGGCGTCCTCGTACTGAAAGTCGTCGCCCATGGGCACCATAATATGCGTAGCCCGGAACGAATTGGACATCTTCTTCACATAGCTTATAAAGTCGTCTACTCGGGCCTTGACATTGTTGTCGTAGCTCTTGCTGTCAATAATGGGCTCATCGCTGCAGAGCAAATCGAAGCAGAAGCCGGGCGGAGCTGAATAATGACGATAGAGCAGTCCGGTAAAGATGTCCGAATCAGCCAAGGATTCACTCGACTGCCAAATCATCTCCATGGCCACATCGTCCAGCCTTTTGCTCTTCTCCACATAATCCATGCGGGCAAAGAACTCGCCGCTGTAGCCCATCTGGGCAAAGATCGAGGCCATCTCACGGGAATGGCCAAATGGATCGATTTGCCAGCCGACGCGTGGACGCGCACAGGAGCCAAAGGTATCATTGAGCAGCCTGAAAGAGGTAGACAGAGAGAGAGAGAGAATCATAAATGAAGCTCTGTTCACTTAGTTCAGATCTCTTCTTAGCCATACTTTAAACCCAATGAAAACTGATCGATAACACTTTGATAGTGCACCGCAGCCTCGTCATTCATGCTCCAGGCACCTCCAATGAACTCCAAGCGTCCTGCATTCACCAATTCCTTAACCTTTTCCTTCACAAAATCGGATTGCTCCTGAAACCACTTCCAGAAGAAGGCCGTCTCCACCTGTATGAAACGTCGGTCGGGGTTCTTCCAGAGCTCCACAATCACCGAATCGAGTATATACTGTACACCCGCATGCTGTATATTGTTCTTTGCCCCGTAATAGTACTGGTCCACAGTCTTCAGCCAGCCGACATCGTCGTGAGAGTGGGGCACCAAGTGCACATTAATCATATTCGGCTTGCTGGCTGGACAGGCCTGTTGATATGCTTTATAGACATGATTCTTATTATGATTGACGGCACTGTACCTCATAGCCACACTTAGCCTCCGCTGGACATGAGCTAATCACTAGCACAGCTGCTATAAGAGCTATATATCGCATTGCATCCGACTCTTTCGCAAACGAATCCAATTTAGAACTGAAGCTCAGGCCGAGAGAGCAACAGCTTTTATATGTGCTCAGCCATGCGATTAGCGGCCAACAAGCGCAACCATTCACAAGTGAAGATAACGTAGAGTTACGGATTAACCATATGCCTGCCCGACTGGGTCGGGTATATCTACAAGTCTAGGGCTAAGTGGGCATAACAACGTTTGCCAAGTAGCTGATAAGCTCGCACTTCACTTAGCTCGGATACAATTTGTTGTTCGCCTATGAATTTCTTGCCTCAGAAATTTCTATGAGAATTATTGACTTTATAAATATAGAAAGTTATAGATTGATATATGAATGAAAGTATTTATAGAACAGAGTTAGCTTCTTTTTCTAACTTAAGTTAGTTATTTAATAAAAAATATATAATAGAATTTAAATCGTAAAAAATTTCTAATCAGTCAGTCGGCATAGAGCTTAAGTATTATTAAATTATTTATATATATATTATATAATTAACTATATATATATATTAAATTATAGCACAAATATGCTTAATAATATATAATTTGCAATCATATTTATGCAGATGCTTAGAGAGAAGTCTGTGATTTACTTGGGTGAAAAGAGTGGGTCTAACAGCCTAGTGGGCCTCCATCTCGATGGTTAAGGCGGGATAGCTCCAAGGGGCAAGGCAGCCAAGGAGATCAGCAGGAAATTTATCTAACAAAGGAAGGAAACAGAATTCATTCCTCAAGCCGAAGCAGGTTTCATAAGGTTTGAAGAAGAACCTAATTGAAGAATGATCCCATAAGAATCTTCTTAGAAGAGAAGGCAAATGTAAGAGGTATCAGGAGAGCCCTACTTGCTACTACTCTTAAGCATTACTACTTATCAATATCATTATTATTATTATTCTATTCTATTCACTGCAATAAAGAGTATACACATTTCACCCAAGCAAATAAATAATAGTATTCCAACTATTTAAGAAGGGGTTCGTTTAGTAATCTACAAGTACCTGTTTGCATCTATAGCATTTTATGATAATAGCGTAATGCCGTTATCCCAAGTGGCCATAACAATTATGAAAACACTCAATAAATTAAAGGGGCCATAATATGTGTTAATCTGTAGATTATTTAAATGAATTTTAATTGATGATTGTGGCAATTATTAATTGATAATTGGGTGTCAAAGTTTTTACTATATTTATGAATTCGTACCAGCTAACCAAATCTCCCCGATAAGAAACTAAAACAAAATATTGCATTCACTCAAGATTAAGGCGGACTCTACGATTGCTAACGGAATGAAAGTATAACAAGCTAATATTAATATTATATATTTCCTGTGCTAACATATGCCTATACCAAACAGATAAAAGCCATATCTATGATTCTTTAATCTGACGCGAATTGATTTGCAATATTTTATCTCTTTTGATTTGGAGGCAAGGTATATGTTCAGTTCACTGTTGAAATAGGTAGAGATCGGAATTTCACAGGTTGCTTTAGGTAATTATAACACTTCAACTTATTGTAAAAAATTTTATAAAAATTGCTTAGCTACAACAATTAATCTAAACAATTGATCTAAACACACGAAAAAAACAGTTTACATTTAAATTAATCAAAAACTATTTTAAAAAAATATATATGTATATAAAAAAAAAGAAAAGAAAAATATATTTCATTTATTTAAATATTTATTTTATTAAATCTAATTTTTTTAATTAAATAAGAGTTGGCTAAGCTTATAAAAGCAATTAAGAGCGCAGCCGAATATGCACGACTAAGAAATACCCTGCTTTACCTAAGCAGATTCTATACGCTATCTTATCAAACTCTATGAATGTATGCTTTATTGGGTTGCTATTTCTGCATTCTTGAGGAGCATATGAGAATCAAGACTTCAGCTTAAGAGCTTCAAGTCTACAGTTCTTATAGGACGCCACAACTCTAGAGATCTACAAGCAGAGAAATTCAGTTGTTCTCTGCGTCTCTTACCTCTTCTTCCCACGCCTCTTTCTGCTTAATAATAGGAATATATGATAGTAATTTTAACTTCAATTTCGTTGGAAAAGTATAATTTTTTTACTAAATTTATGATTGTGTTCGTGGAAGCTCCAATCAGAAGAAAGTGTGCGAATGTTTTCCCTGCTATGAATCGAATGAAGCACATAATCTAATCATAAAGCTATATTTTATGCTTATAATATTTACGTTTACTAATCAGATTTAGTAAAACATTTATGATAAGTAAGAGTTGTGGGTGCAAGTCGAACATATGTTCAAATATTCCATTCAGATCTATTAAAGAGCACAATCTGTCGAGGCAGAGCAAGAGCAGAGAAACTAGACATTGCCTATCTAATGGCCTAAGCTCACGCCAAAGGCATATTCTATGTCCAGCTGTGCGATCATATTCTGGTCAAGCCTCGCTTTGTGAGAGTCATGCGAAAATTTACTTTCATGCAAACGGCTTTGGCTAGTCCCTCTGAGCTAAACTGGTTTATCTTAGACTTTTACCCAAATGTCTTCGCGGTCAAACTGTTCAAAGGTGTGCAGCTACCCTTTATGATAACATCTGCAGATATTCTACAATATGTCCTGGGACTTTATAATTGGCTCGCTTTGCCGCAACGGTGCCAAGGAATGCCAACAGAATATGGGCAGATATGGGCAGGTCTCTGATGTCTCCTTATTCAGCAAAACTACGCTCAAGGAAAAACTGCGTTTGTTGATCTCAAAAAGCTAGCGAAGTTATGTGGAGCCACATAATACACTATCTCTATTGAAGCTACAATAACCTATGGAATCCCCCTTGCCACAAGGACAACATCTCAAATGGAAGATAGTAAATGCAGCAGCTACGATTAAGTCTTAAGAAATTTCCAATAAAAATCGAGCACCAAATTCGGAATGCATTTTTCTTATCGCGCCATGACCAAATTTGCCACAATTACTAATAGCAAGCCTTGGTTTTCAGTGCCCGCATAACGCAGCGCGCAAAGGTGACTGTTTGACCGTGCCTTATGTACCGACTAGGTATATATAGCAGGGAATTGGAGCTGTAAGCTCAATATAACATCGACATGAAGGCAGTTCTCATTGTGCTCGTTATCGCTGGCTGTGCCCTGGCTCTGAGCTACGAGGATGTGCTCGAGGCGGAGTGGCAGGCCTTTAAAAAGGAGCACGATAAGTCCTATCAGGATGCGAGCGAGGAGCAGCTGCGCAGGAGAATCTTCAAGGACAACAAGGAGATGATTGACAAACACAATGCACGCTATGCGGCAGGCGAGGAGACATGGGAGATGGGTGTCAATGAATTCACAGACATGCTGCTCGAAGAGTTCCGAGCACAGATGCTGGGAGGCCTCAACAAAACGGACGATCCGACTGAAATACATCTGGTATACAAGCCGTCTCCAAATTTCCGAATTCCCTCGTCGGTTGATTGGCGTAAAAAGGGCGCCGTTACCAAGGTGAAGAATCAAGGTCACTGCGGCTCCTGCTGGACATTTGCCGCTGCTGGCACTCTGGAGGGTCAACACTTCCTCAAGACGGGCAATTTGATTGACCTATCTGAAGAGAATATTTTGGACTGCGCAAGTCAATGGCCCTATCCCAATCAAGGCTGCAATGGTGGTTGGGCATCGTCTGCGCTGGATTATATAAAGAACAATGGTGGCGTAGATACTGAAGCATCGTATCCGTATTATGCTTATCAGGGCAACTGTCACTTTGATAGAAGAAGAGTAGGCGCCACTGTCAAGAAAGTTGTGCGAGTGGCAAAGGGGGACGAAAATGCTCTGGCAGCAGCTGTTGCCGAGTATGGACCCATTGCTGTGAGCATTGAAGCGACCCATCTGGTTCATTACAGGCGTGGAGTTTTGAACAAGCGCTGCCAAAATGTTATAGATCATGATCTCGTCGTTGTGGGCTATGGCCATGATGTGAGAGGAGGCGACTACTGGCTGCTCAAGAACTCCTGGGGCAAGGAGCGCGGTGAAAATGGCTATGTTCGTATGGCACGCAATCGTGGAAACTTGTGCTTCATTGCCAGCCAAGCCGTCTTTCCATTGGTTTGAAACTACAGTCACTTGCATCATGTTCTACGAATCTCTTATCAGATTCGCAATTTGAAGTATTTACCCTTATTTCCGTTTGCCATTTTATATTAATAAAATAAAATAAAACTTAGAGCAAAGCTTTGAAAGAGATATGTTTACCTGATGTGCCACGCCCCTAAGAAGTCTTGGGTTGGGTTGGGAGTATATATACTTGATTATAAATCTCTTGAATAACACCGTCTCTGATATAGTATTACCTGAATTAACACCATTCATAGGGCATAGGTTAGACAGACGAACGGACGAAGGGATGGAGATTGCACAAAACTAATATACTCCTTCACTCCCCAGCAGGCGCCTTCGCTCCCTTGAGAGAACAAGGAGAGAATCGACGGGCAATGCTAATCCTGCACAGAGTCTGCAGCAGAAACTGGGCAAAAATGTTACGAATTTATAGCCGAAGGCAATTGAATCTCTGTCAAATGAGGAGGTACCTAACACTCTAGAGATTCAGTAGGAACCATCAATAGCAGATGCAGTAGTAATTTACAAATCGTTTTAAACTTAACTCATTTAGTCATCCGCTCTTAAAAAAAAAAATGTATAGTTCAGTGACCTAATAATCCATGATTATTTATAGAAAACTATGTTTGCACTGCCCGCATAGGGCGGCTTGATGACTGTTCAGTTATGCCTGATGCAGCGACTGAGTATATATAGCTGGGAATTGGATCCCATAAGTTAAATCTAACTTCGACATGAAGGCAGTTCTCATTGTGCTCGCTATCGCTGGCTGTGCCCTGGCTCTAAGCTACGAGGATGTGCTCGAGGCGGAGTGGCAGACCTTTAAAAAGGAGCACGATAAGTCCTATCAGGATGCGAGCGAGGAGCAGCTGCGCAGGAGAATCTTCAAGGACAACAAGGAGATGATTGACAGACACAATGCACGCTATGCGGCAGGCGAGGAGACATGGGAGATGGGTGTCAATCAATTCACAGACATGCTGCTCGAAGAGTTCCGAGCACAGATGCTGGGAGGCCTCAACAAAACGGACGATCCGACTGAAATACATCTGGTTTATAAGCCTTCTGCTAATTTCCAAGTTCCCTCATCGGTGGATTGGCGAGAAAAGGGCGCTGTTACTGAGGTGAAGGATCAAGGTAAATGCGGCTCCTGTTGGGCATTTGCTGCCACTGGAACTCTGGAGGGCCAACATTTCCTCAAGACGGGCAATTTGGTTGACCTGTCCGAAAAGAATCTTTTGGACTGTTCCAGTGAGCCGCCCTATCGTAATAAAGGCTGCAACGGTGGTTGGGCTTTGGCTGCGCTGCATTATGTAAAGAGAAATGGTGGTATAGATACGAGTGCATCGTATCCTTATGAGCCCTATCAGGGCGACTGTCGCTTTGATAGCAACGAAGTAGGCGCCACGGTGCGACATGTTGTGAGAGTGGAAAGAGAGGACGAAGATGCTCTGGCAGCAGCTGTCGCCGAGCATGGACCCATTGCTGTGAGCATTGAAGCAACTCATCTTGTCCATTACAGAGGCGGAATATATACCAGGCGCTGCCACCATCATGCTGACCATGCAGTCCTTGTTGTAGGCTACGGCCATGATGAGACGGGAGGCGACTACTGGCTGGTCAAGAACTCCTGGGGCACTGACTTTGGTGAAGATGGATATTTTCGAATGGCCCGCAATCGGGACAACTTGTGCTTCATTGCCAGCAGGCCCATCTTTCCATTGGTTTAATGTCTTGAGTTGAGTTTCTTATAATTAGCCTAGCTCAACTAGTCATCAAGTTCAATATACGGTTTAGCTTCATATATATTATATACACACATAATATACTCCTATGAAATTGAAAGTGTAATAAAAAATTATAAATATTTCTCAATGTTATTAATGATTTTAGTCGACGTAGATTAACCACACGCTTTATTAAATAGCTTCTGAATTACTTAAGCGATCTAATAAAATGTTCGGTATATAAACTATGTATTCTAATGAAAATGGTATATATAAATTTATGTTTAATAAAACCAATTGAACAAAATATTCATAAAATATTCATTAGAATAAATGAGAAATTTGGAGACTGTAGCTGCAAAGCCTTAAGAGCTGTGATCTACTAACCGAATTTTGATAACGATGTTCCTTATCGATGTCATTAAAACGGGAAAAGTTATCGTTATCAAGCAAAGCTGATCAGTTCGTTCTATGAGGAAGTTTCATACCACTTTTCAAGCCTGTAGCTCTTATGGTGTCTGAGTTCGAAGCAGACTGAAGGAGAGACGGCGGACTGCTAGACAGACAAACGGACAGAGCTAGATCGACTCAACTCCTCGTCCTGATCACAAATATATTTATATTAAATGGGGGGCAAACCTCCTTCTGTTCGTTTATACACATTTTAACCGCCAATAAGAATCTCTCAGTCCGGCAGACTATTCCCTTGAACTGAGCAGTAGAACCTTAGATTAAATTTAACGTATGGAACACTGAAAAGGACTTACGCAGGGGCTCTGAAAATATATATATCAAGCTCTAAAATTAAACATGTATTTTTAGTAATTTACGATATCAATTTAAAACCAACTTAAGTATAATTTATTTAGTCATTCGATAAATTACTCAAGAAGGAAGTGTTGTATATTTATGCTTGACTTAATTAGCCACAATTATTAATAGAAAGCCTGACCGCATAGCGCTTCTTGATGACTGCTTGACTATGGTGCACGGATTGAGTATATATAGCTGGGAACTGGATCCCATAAGTTAAATCTAACTTCGACATGAAGGCAGTTCTCATTGTGCTCGCTATCGCTGGCTGTGCCCTGGCTCTAAGCTACGAGGATGTGCTCGAGGCGGAGTGGCAGACATTTAAGGAGGAGCACGATAAATCCTATCAGGATGCGAGCGAGGAGCAGCTGCGCAGGAGAATCTTCAAGGACAACAAGGAGATGATTGACAGACACAATGCACGCTATGCGGCAGGCGAGGAGACATGGGAGATGGGTGTCAATCAATTCACAGACATGCTGCTCGAAGAGTTCCGAGCACAGATGCTGGGAGGCTTCAACAAAACGGACGATCCGACTGAAATACATCTGGTATACAAGCCGTCTCCAAATTTCCGATTTCCCTCGTCGGTTGATTGGCGTAAAAAGGGCGCCGTTACCAAGGTGAAGAATCAAGGTAAATGCGGCTCCTGCTGGACATTTTCCGCTGCTGGCACTCTGGAGGGTCAACATTTCCGCAAGACGGGCAATTTGGTTGACCTGTCCGAAAAGAATCTATTGGATTGTTCAAGTATGTGGCCCTATCCTAATCTGGGCTGCCACGGAGGTTGGCCCTCTGCTGCGTTAGATTATGTTAGGTTAAATAATGGCATCGATACTGCTGCAGCGTATCCTTACCATCCTTCTCAGGGCTACTGTCGATTTAATAGCAATGAAGTAGGCGCTACGGTGCAAGCAGTTGTGGGAGTGGAACGAGATAACGAACAGGCTCTGGCAGCAGCTGTGGCCGAGAATGGTCCCATTTCAGTAACTGTTGACGCCACTAATCTGATGAAGTACAGAAGCGGAGTTATAACCCAGCCCTGCCAAAATCACGCCAATCACGCAGTCCTTGTTGTGGGCTACGGTCATGATGTGACGGGAGGCGACTACTGGCTGGTCAAGAACTCCTGGGGCACGGTTTTCGGTGAAGATGGATATTTTCGCATGGCACGCAATCGCAATAACTTGTGTTCCATTGCCAGCGCAGCCGTCTATCCATTGGTTTAACATATTAATCTGAGTATCTTATAATATAACTAACACGACTTGCAAATTAGTCAACTAGTTCTATATGCAGTTTAGATATATATATATGTATATACATATATTAAATAAAAGTTATTGCTTAACATGAAATTGAAACCATAACAGATTTTTTTAATATTTCTGCGACATTATTTTCGAACTTTCACAAACTCATTTGTTAATTTATATTTTTAATAACGTTTATTAATTATTTTGCCCGATGACAATTTGCCTTTAGATGCGCGCATCTTTACACATGGTTTCGTAAACGTTTTCGATTAGATATATATAGATATAGATATAGTCAGCATTAATAAACATCACCATAGTTTGACATACATTTTATATAACAGTAATAGCAGGACAAATACAATGTTTCCTTAGCTTCAAAACGAATTTTACTCTTCAATTGCTTGCAACAATCATTGAGTTGCGTGTATAAATATGTTTAGGTAGTTGATAGTAGTAGTAAATAGCATTGTATAAATATTATAAACTTTATCATTTTGATTCAAGTGTGTATAAATTGTTGTATTTAAGCAACGTTGCGTAGCAAGCGTTCAGTCGTTTATTTCATTTTCCATAGAGCATCCAATTCGTTTAATGGATCCTTGGTCTCCTGCTGCTCCTTGGCCGTCACCTGAGGTGCCATTTTCATTTGATATGAGGTTATGATGCCACCTACAATTGAATAATGTATTAACTTCCAAATATATATCTACATATGTGCAGTCAGAGTCATTCTTACGTTTATTTAGCACTTCGTGAGCATGACTCAATACTATTTGCATGGATTGCTCCAGGATAGCAGCTTCTCGAAGCGAATTTTGACGCTGCATACAAATGCGGGACCATACATCGACCACATCTTAAAAGGCAGTTATATTGTTCAGTATAAATCAAATTTAAGTCAAAGCTTTGCATACTTATCAAAATAGGTCGTTTGTTTTGTGTTCCCATCAAGGCACAAATTGCTATTGCCAGTAGCTCAGAGCGTTCCGAGCCCGTTAAACAGTTCAGAATGAGCGGCGATGTGGGAGTATTGGCATCTAGGCAGCGCTCCTGATGCGTCTGCAATGCATTCTGTGCTATGCCCAACAATTGAGTGGGCGAACTGAAATAAAGGAATAATGTGCATCTTGAGTATATGATATTTCATTATATATAAATTGTATTTAGTTACGCTTTGGTCCATTGCTTGAGCTGTAGCAGGGATAAGTCGAGTACAGCATCAGCGCCATGCATGGATAGCTTCAGCTGGTATTCCGTACAGTGGCTAAGCTGCTGTATCTTAGTGCAATTCACTGTGTAGTCATCATAGTGTGCAGCCTGATTAAGCAGCTGTGGCCAATAGGGATCAAAGAGCTGAAAGGGTAAAGCGAACTAAGTAATATATATATTTATATATGTTAATGAGCCTACCTCATTGGTTGTGTGCAGGCAAAGGACAGTACGTGACTTTTCGGACCAAATCATGGACCAGAAATCGTTAATTGTATTCGCTTGCGGTGTTTGGGACACAATAAAGTTTGGACAGCCGGCGCTGAGGCTCTGAGGGAGAGATTCAGGTTTAAATAAAATTAAAATCTGTGTGTCAAATATCATATCTTGTGTGCAGATGAGGATTAGCTGTCTTCTACCTTCATGTAAGCCGCATTGATATAGTCATCCGTTTGCTTGTCCAGCTTGACGCGCGCATGGTCGTACGGTAGACAGTCGAGTGATCGATTCTTTTCGGGAAACAGCTTAGCTATAGTCGTCGTTCGCTTCACGCTCGTATCCTTCTCCAGCTTTTGCTGCAGCTCGAGCCATTTGCTACTCAGCTGAGTGTTGCCATTCAGCATCTTGACGTGCAGGTTTTCAACCAGCTTCTCATAGCTCTCCACTTCCTTGTGAAAGTATTTCAATGTCTTATCATCAGCAAATGGATCGCATGGTCGCATTTGGAATGATATGAGAGGGTATCCATTGGGTGCCTGTTGCTTTTCGCTGACGGAATGTGTTAGGGAAACTGAATCCCAGTCGAAATTTTCTAATGAGCTCAAATCTGAGTTAATGGAAAGATTATCAATACTATTTTTACGCAGCGTTGTAACAATTGATAATGGCAGTGCTACAGGCGAGAGTCCAGCAGTAGCGCCAGCAACAGCGGCTGTTGGACTGACATCCACAGTGGACTCGCCTGCAGGCACTGAATCAACCACTGAAGCCGGCGGAGTAGGAGTCGTCACAATTTGCGGCTGTAGCAGCGGCAGCGGCACAGCACCTGCACTATCCAAGTCCAGATCGCTCAGCAAATCCACATTGCTAGCATCAGCAGCTGTGGGTTTGGTTGCCGTCTGCAATGCGGACGAGGCATAGCCACTGCTAGTGGTCGTCTGTGTATTGGCTATGCTGCTGCCACCGCTCTGCATATAAATTGATGACTTTTGGTTGTTGGAGGTTGTTACAGTTGTTGCAGCAGGTTGCTGTTGTTGTTGCTGTTCCTGCTGTAGCTGCTGCGGCTGCTGCTGCTGCGGCTGTTGTTGCTGCGGCTGATGTTGCTGCTGCTGCTGTTGTGTGTGTGAATGATACCCATACGGTGGTGTATAATAGTTGCCCATAGCCGGCTCAGCTGGTTGACTTGGTGCCTGGGCTTCATTTGCTGCCTTTGCATGCGAAACAATGGGCGACTATACAAAAGAAAGTATCAATTAGTAAAGCTTTTCTTTTGATCTTTAGTTGTACTCACATCAAAGCCCGTGGCCAAGCTGCTGCGATTGGCTTGCTCCGAGTCCGTGGTGCCCACAACAGCTACCTGCTGTCCGCTTTGCGTGAATTGGCCAAAGCCCTGCGCTGCCTTTGGAATGTTATTGCTATCATGCTGATAGCCGCTGCTGTATTCAAATAAGCCTGTCTGCGGATTGAAGCTGTAGCCAGGGTGATTGGAGTAGCTTAAATAGTTGTTTGACTCAATACTGGAGACTGCGCTGCCTACTGGATATTGTGAGGCAGCTGGAGCCACTGTAGGTAGACCAGGCGTGGCCTGAACCACTGCTGTTGATTGTGGTGTTATTTGCGAGGGATATAAAACAGGCTGTGGTGGTGGAGTCGGCTGCTGAGCAAACGGCATAGATGCAGACTGTTGAGGTGTCTGTTGAAGCCCATAAGCAGTCGACTGTGGTTGCGGCTGTATCTGCGTAGCAGCCGCATGAGCTCCAATTTGCGGCTGCTGAATGGCTTGTGAATAACTGGCAGCTTGTTGGGTAGTTAAAGCTTGGGGATAACTGGCTGTCATCTGAGGTGTCGAAGATTGAGGATAACTGACTGCTGGCTGAGGTGTCAGGGACTGTGAGTAATTGGCTGCCTGTTGAGCTGTCTGCGTCTGGGGATAACTGCCTTGTTGTTGAGGCGTCTGTGCCTGCGTATAACTGGCTGCTTGTTGGGTTGCTTGCGACTGCATCTGTGAGGGAGCATAACTGGCTGCTTGTTGAGGCATTGTCTGCGCCTGCTGAGCATAGCCCGCAGCTGGTTGCGGGTACATCGACATTTGTTGTTGCTGCGCGAAGCTTGAGGCTTGCGGCGTGGCAACCCCAGCTGTTGGATAAGCCGGCTGTTGTGTCTGCTGCTGAGCATAGCCCACAGGCTGTGACTGCGGCAGTGCATAACTCGATGTGTCGCTAGGCTGCGTGGATGTGGCCACATAGAGCGGCTGCTGATAGTTGTAATTCTGCGAAGCAGGTGAGCCGGCAGACGCTGGATAGTTGTAGCCATAGGGCAATTGCGATTGCTGGCCATAGGATGTCATTGGCTCCGATTGCTGCTGCTGCTGCTGCTGTTGTTGTTGCTGCAAGCTGAGCTGTGCCATGGCGCTGTGCAGCGATTGAGAGTTGGGCGAGGCCTGCGCTTTGTATGCGGGCGGCGCAATATGTTGTTGTTGTTGCTGGTACATGGGATTGGTATAGCCAGCGGCATTGGGATCGTAGTATTGCTGGTGCTGCAGACTGTAGGGCGGCGGCGGCTCATTGGGCGGCGGTGCACTGGCATAGGCCGAGCAAGCAGCCTGTGTAGGATTCTCCGAGCCCACGGGCACTGGACGAACATTGGGCACATAGGGCGCAGCATCGAGTGCGCTTGTGACAGTGCCCAAGCCGCTTTGTTTGGCCTTTAGATAATCACGCAGCTTAGGCGCTCCACTCGATGGAGTGGGCGTAACTTCTGGCTTGCTGGGAGCGGGTGCCTTGACGCTCTGCAAGCGCTGCTGCCGCTCCTCGGATTGGACATCGCGTGCGGACTTGAAGCGCGTTAATAGCTTCTGTACATTGCCCGCCAACTTCTTATAGAACTCCAGGCCCTTAGCCGACTTGGCCAACAGATCTTCGTAAACATCATAGGACGCTGCGAGTGAACTGTAGAAATGTTCGCGTTTCTGTTTGACATCCTGCAGCGTCTTCAGCACAGGCGCCGCACGCGCATAGGCCTCGGTGAGAGCCTGCAGTATGTTTTGCTGCGCCAGCAAATTTTGATCGAGCAGCTGGGTGAGGCGATCGTGCTTGGCTAGCTCCGTGGCAAAGAGCGCCTGGAGACCTTCCTGTCCGCCATGAGCAATCACCTTTGTCGTGATGTCATCCTCATTGATGGCAATACGCAAATCCGCATGGAACTGCGCACGTTGCGCCTTCATTTCGTTCACCTTGTTCACGATCAGCTTGACATCCTTAAAGATCTCTGTGGTATTCAGTTCCGAGCTGAGCTTCGGCATCAGCTGCTGTATCTCCTGCAGCGGCCGGGCCAATATCTTCAGATTATTCACATGTAAGCTCATCGCCTTGCGCAGCGTGTTGTTCGATTCGCCAGCTCGGGCATGCGCTTCGCTATATTTCTGAAACTCTCGAGTCAATTCCGTAATGTGAGCATTTGGCGTTCGCTGCACGCCGCTGGCTGTTTGAAATTCTCGTTCCGCTTGCGCTTCCGCCTCAAGCATATGCGTCAGCTCACTTAGATTGGTCTCCACATCTGCTGTTATCTCTGCAAGCTGTGACATGGCCTCAATCAGATCACTGATGGCTGTCTTATTGGCATGCAACGCTGCACAGCGATCGACAATGCCCTGCGGCAGCTTATTTGCCTGCTCCTCGTTAATGTTGAGATTGTCTAGGGTAAGCGAGCTCATATAGCTATCCAGCTGTGTATCTTTCTCCTCCAGCAAAGCGCCATATTTACGCAACAATTTGGCCTTCTCCTCGCTGTACATGGAGCTGGCTTCGTGTGCCTTCATTGGTACTAATCGAGCAAATATATCAGCGCCGGCATATTCCTCATCTGTGACAGAGAAGCCAATGCCATTCACCAGATTTGCGCCCTGCACAGCAGCAATGGTTGATAACTCTGGCACCGCCTCGTGGTAGATGAATTCGTTTTCGTTTTTGGCATTTTTTCGCTTTCCCTCGACTACATCGGCGGTAAAGCTGAGTGATTCATTGATTTCCTTTTGATCTGGCAGGCCTTTCGACTCTTTGCGAGCCTCCTCCAATTTGTCCCAGGCGGCCTAAACGTGGAGTTATTTTGAATATACTAGCGGTAATTTTAATTTCATATGAGCTTACCTGGTAAAGCGTCAAACGTTCGCCCATTTTGCGTTGTTCCTCCGCCTGTTGACCGCGATACAAATACAATATGCAGTGCAGATAGTTGATCTTAAATTTCACATATTTCTTCCATAGCTTGTAGACAGAGCTCTCGATGACTTGAGCGATGGGGCCATCATCGCCGCCAGTGAGCAGGGCAGCCAAAGCAGCGCCGTAGTAGACGACTATTTGCGCCGTCACCTTGGCGACAATATGTGGCTTCCGATTGTCTATTAGAGACTTCTCCAGTATGCATTCCTGTGCCTGAGCAAGAGATACCTGCTGCTGAAAGACTAACAGTTCGTTGGTCATAAAATCAGAGCCGCTATTCACATTCGCGTAGCGTTCCCTTAACTCATTGTAGGCCCAAGCAGCGGCCTGAAAATGGTTTTATTATTATATATTGTATACTGATGCTTCATATGAACTCACCTGAAAATGGGTGCAGGCCATTTTCATGCCATCAATATCACCGCGCGTCACAGAGGCGCCCGACTGTGTGTGAGAGGCGGCAATGTTGAAGAGAACGGCGGCGCGTTCGTAGCGCATGTCGCTCACCTCATGCACTGCATTGTGATACAGATCTTTCCAGGTAAATGTAAAGATGCTGCGCTCCGAAAGCTGTGGGAACCGATTCTGCAGCGCATGCAGCTGGCAATAGTAGCGCTTCATAATAGGAGCTCCATCTTTGGTCGTGCGCATTGCCTGATTGCGCAGAGTTTCCAAGGCGTGAACCTCCTTAGAAAACGCCTCCGGATCTTCATGGTAAAACTCTGCTATGTACTGCGGCGAATAAGTGAGAAAGAGAGGGAGAGTGAGAGTGAGAGAGAGTGTGAGTGGAAGAGCGAACAAAAGCTCTTCGGTGTTTGTTTTGATTTCGATTTGTTGATAATTTAACAACTGTTGCGATGACTCAGACACTGGAAGCGACAGAGGTGGGTGCTCATATAAAGCTGAACATTTCAGTAGATCAACCTTCGTCAGCGGTTCCGCCCCAACACAGCCCCCTTCTACAATAATTGTTAAGTTCGTCGACCGTCGTTGCTTTGTCGTCTGCTTACCTTTTTTAAAGGCGCAAAAGATGTGCCTTCTGGGCTAGATTTGAGTGCAAACCATAGCATGTGCAGACGTGGCACGGCCTCCATTGTGTCTTTGGTTTTTTATTGCACCCTTCTTGCTTAAATTGTTAATTTAGAAACTTTTTTCGCAGAATGTACAACAGAAAATTGCACTGCAACTGCAGTGTGACCGTAGATGGAATGTGTATTAAATCTCAAAAAAATGCACAATAAAAATACCAAAACTAATTGAAATTGAACCAAACGAAATTTAAAGCTTAGCAAGTAGTCTTCGTTAAGTGATGCTTTCGTTAAGCTATCAAGTGGTTCTTGTCTTGGATACAGTAGTATGTACACAAGCCGTTAGAGGTCGCCTAAGAACTGCCTAACAATTTAAATTAATTTTTAAAAAATATTTTTGCCAAAGTATAAATTTGTTTTACAAAGTAACTTTTTCAGCAGGCGGCCAATAAATTGACCTAAAAAGTTGTATACGCTGAATACTACCATCACTACCAGCACTACCGTCAACGCACCTAATCCGTTTGGTAAACCGAAATAAGTAAAAATAATACGCAAAACTAAATTACGGCTGTCCGGCATAAATGAATATTTACATTTTTCCTAGCACCCAGCGTTGACAACAAAGGCAACAAAAGCAGCGACAAATGGGCAACTCACCGGCTGAGCCGCGGACTATGAAGGATGGGCTAAAGGACGAATGGGGCTAAAAGGATAAAGAGCGAACAAAAGGGGAGTTGAGCTTTTCCTTTTCGTTCGCGGCATTTGCTATAAAAACTCTTCTAGTTAATTTAATTATTTATATGACACTTTTTTTTTGTACATCATTTGTTGTTGCTCTTAAAAATATTTTTAGCACTTCCTGTGCAAAATTCTAACCGCAAGGACAACAAAAAAAAAACAACTGCCAAAAGAATGCAGAAAGAGTGAAAGAGAGAGAGACAGGCAGTTGGCCAACTATGCACTTCCTGTCATTGTCTCCGTTCTCCTCGCTCTCCTCTGTACCGCACTCTAGCGACTGTTTTGCGAAAAGCCGAAACGTTGTTGTTAACATTTCCGCTGCTCGCAAAGGCGTTGCTGCTGTTGATGGTGTTGTTGGTGCCCACATAATTCGCATGGCTAACAACTGCGCAAGAAGAATTTGTTGCGAAATTATTATGAAACATTTACAATTTGCACATGGCAAGCGTTTCACATTTTCATTCTTATTTTAATACTCTTTCAAAGGATATACCAAGCATGCTATGAATTATGTAAAACGTGGCCATTGGATCAGCAGAATTTATATTTTATTTGAAGTGGATCCGATTCATTTCAACAGGAGGCAATGTGGATATTGTGACTGTGGAACATAATTTCCTTGTTCATGCTTTTGTTGTTGTGCACTGCAGGCGACAGCTGCAGCATAGAGCGAGAGAATAAATTGCTGTTGATCGCTTATATGTATATTTCATTTACTCCAATGGTCTCAATACTTTTTATCTCATTAGTTGTATGTGTATACAAAGCATTGCTTATTGAGTGAGAGCAGAAGTTAGTGAGAGCTGCGTAATTTTTTCATTGTGTAGTTTGAGTTCCTTCTCAGCTTGCGAACGGTTGAGAGAGTAAACAAGTGAGTACAAAAAATTGTCTTTTTAACAGTTAAGTACTTATTGGCGTTTTCATATGTTTGCAGAGGTCATTGTTATTTTCTGATACAATTCGTAACTCATGAGAGAAGCTTAAGCATTTTATATAAATATATACAATCAATAGCTATGATTAACTTATAGATCAATTTATAAGATTTTTAAAATAAATGATGCTTAAAAAATTTAATATTTGTCTAAAAGTATTTCTGAGCTATGCGTTCACAAGGGTATTTCATATTCGGGGTGTCGCGTGCAGGCGATATTTTCAGTTTTTGTTGTTCTTTTTTGAATGCACTTAAAAGTCAAACTGAAGTTTTTGCATTGTTGCGCGTGTGGCTCTGCCTGAGTGTGTATGTGTGTGTATGTGTGTGCGTGGCTGCCAAAAAGTCTGTCAAAATGTTTATTGCGTTGTCATGCGGCAAATGGCAATTAAGTATGTGTGCGTGTGTGTGTGTAGGTACGTGTGTTTGTATGACCTCGTTTCTTTTTTAATGAATATCGCTCTGCTCTGTCTTGCGAGATTCTTTGCGCTCTCAAACGTGCTTTGAATAGAGTCTAAAGTCTTTTTCTCTTGTTTTAATTTTGAAAAGTTTCGAAATGTAGATTCGCGCATGCTTTAGTACTCAAAGCAATCAAATAAACAGATTGTGAGCGCATCATTGATTAGGTGAGTAATCTGCCACCCACAAAATGCTAAAATACCACACATAAATCCGAAAGTAAAACTCATTAAACTTATCACTTAATGCCGAAAACAAAATGGCACCGTCATAAAAAATACAACAATAAACATTACTCATAAGCCTACCGACTGGACAATGCATTGCGTGTGAGGGCAATTAAAAACAAAAAAAGGAAATGGAAAGGAAAAGAAAGAAAATGGCCGTTAAATTTGAAATGGGCTCAAACATATGCACGTGCGTGTGTGTGTGGGTGTGTGTGCGTGTGCATGTGTGTAAGTAAAGCCAAGACCAAAGATAAACAGCGACTAAACAGGGACTAAAAACAAAGCCAAACAAACCGAAGAACCGCAGCATGAGGCAGGAGCAGGAGCAGGAGCAGTGGCAGGGGAAAGGACACAAACTTGTGCTGGGTACATAAAATCTACGCGCGGCCCCCAAATTAATACGAATTTATGACAATTTCAAATGCATTTTCAACGTTTGCCCCAACCCCTGTCCACCGTCTACTGAGCCATAAAAATTTTTATGCCACAAGCAAAAACAAAAAAAAAAAAACGCGCGAATTTTTTTTTTGTTTGCAAAAACATTTTTATGGGCTGCTTGCCACGCCTCCAATTTATATACATATATATATAGAGGTATATATATCTGGCATGTGTTTGATTCGGAGTCGCGTCTTGTTGTTTGACCATTTTTATGACCCGCACGGAATCTGCGAAGCAGCCGCCCATTTTGTAGGCTTTTGTCTTACGAGCTTTGGGCGCCCTTCAGCATTTCCCGCACTCACTTATTCTTATAATTTTATGACTACTGACAATGCCATTTCCATTTCCATTTGGTTGGCACGTTCCATGTTACTCGTCAGACTTTATGCACTTTATGCACAATAATAAATAAATTCGCATTAAATTTTTTCGTACTCTTTTTAGAGTGCCGCACAGTCCGCTGGCTACCCGCGAAACATTTGCGTAACTCATAAATACTTTTAATGATCTGAACGTTTTGATTTTGGCGTTTTTATTAATTTGTCACAGCTTGTCGAGGCTAGCGAAAAGAGCCAGCAGCCCAGCCAGGGCCCAGCTATATGGCTGGCTAATTTGTTGCCCACTTATTTATATAGCCTACTATAATGTTAATTGTCAATTCGAATTGCGCTGCATAACATAAATCAAGAAAGGATTGCGCACAGCCACATAAAATGTTAGGGCTGTCTTTAAGTAGATCGTAAAAGACGAATGTCCTGCAACAGGCTTGGCATTTGGCAATGATTTAATAATGATCTTGCAGCTGAAGACATTTCTGGTATAAATTAATATTTAAGGCAGTTGAAATATTGTAAAATTCAATTATCATTTCCTATTTCTATTTTTTTTGGCTTTTGAGATATATAAATTTTAATACTATTAAGGAAATGGCCGTTTAAATTTGAAATGGGCTCAAACATATGCACGTGCGTGTGTGTGTGGGTGTGTGTGCGTGTGCATGTGTGTAAGTAAAGCCAAGACCAAAGATAAACAGCGACTAAACAGGGACTAAAAACAAAGCCAAACAAACCGAAGAACCGCAGCATGAGGCAGGAGCAGGAGCAGGAGCAGTGGCAGGGGAAAGGACACAAACTTGTGCTGGGTACATAAAATCTACGCGCGGCCCCCAAATTAATACGAATTTATGACAATTTCAAATGCATTTTCAACGTTTGCCCCAACCCCTGTCCACCGTCTACTGAGCCATAAAAATTTTTATGCCACAAGCAAAAACAAAAAAAAAAAAACGCGCGAATTTTTTTTTTGTTTGCAAAAACATTTTTATGGGCTGCTTGCCACGCCTCCAATTTATATACATATATATATAGAGGTATATATATCTGGCATGTGTTTGATTCGGAGTCGCGTCTTGTTGTTTGACCATTTTTATGACCCGCACGGAATCTGCGAAGCAGCCGCCCATTTTGTAGGCTTTTGTCTTACGAGCTTTGGGCGCCCTTCAGCATTTCCCGCACTCACTTATTCTTATAATTTTATGACTACTGACAATGCCATTTCCATTTCCATTTGGTTGGCACGTTCCATGTTACTCGTCAGACTTTATGCACTTTATGCACAATAATAAATAAATTCGCATTAAATTTTTTCGTACTCTTTTTAGAGTGCCGCACAGTCCGCTGGCTACCCGCGAAACATTTGCGTAACTCATAAATACTTTTAATGATCTGAACGTTTTGATTTTGGCGTTTTTATTAATTTGTCACAGCTTGTCGAGGCTAGCGAAAAGAGCCAGCAGCCCAGCCAGGGCCCAGCTATATGGCTGGCTAATTTGTTGCCCACTTATTTATATAGCCTACTATAATGTTAATTGTCAATTCGAATTGCGCTGCATAACATAAATCAAGAAAGGATTGCGCACAGCCACATAAAATGTTAGGGCTGTCTTTAAGTAGATCGTAAAAGACGAATGTCCTGCAACAGGCTTGGCATTTGGCAATGATTTAATAATGATCTTGCAGCTGAAGACATTTCTGGTATAAATTAATATTTAAGGCAGTTGAAATATTGTAAAATTCAATTATCATTTCCTATTTCTATTTTTTTTTGGCTTTTGAGATATATAAATTTTTAATACTATTTTTTTTTGGCTCTTAATATATTGAAATTATCACTACTATTTTTATGAACAGAGCCATTCAGTCCATATGTAAGCTTTACTCTCTCTCTCTCTCTTTCTCTGTCTGCTTGTCTCTCACTCCTCATACTTTATATCTATATATCTTTATATATATATATATCTTTATATACTTCATCAACTCATTTAGCAAGTTCTCAATATTCAGTTTTGACCTTCACTTTGGACTTTAATTCAATTCACGAATTTCCATCG